CCGGATTTGCCCATGAGGTGCAGTTGACTTTTGCCACGCTGGTGCTGCCTTCGGATGAGCTGGCGCGACGCCTGCAGAACCAGACTGCCATCACATCGCTTGGTGACCCTGGTAAGTGCTGCTTTGCTGGCTGCTGATGACTGGCAATGACGATGGCGTTGTTGTTGGCTGTGGCCTGTGTGCTTTTTCTTGCCTGGCGTCGATCGCTGGTTTGTTTCGTGATTTTTCCTTCTCATCGCAAACCCTGTGACTCATTTTGACTTCTTGCTTGTATCTGTCTGTCTATCTGTCCGTCTGTCTATTCATCTAGCTGTTGTGAGTGCGACGATGACGGCGGGTGATGTCGTGACGATCCTCGAGGCTGAGTTGGCGCGTAGTATCATGGAGATCAACGTCAACGGTTACACGTTTGTGGCCGCCTCGGATCCTGAAGTGCGACGCACCCCCTGGGTTGCTCCCACCACGACCACCGCGGCACCGCCCCGTCCCACCGGGCCCAATGGTGGCTCAACGACAGCACCCGGCAACTCGGGTGCGGAAGGATCGCGCAGCTCGAGCTCGAGCTCTGCTGGGCCCATGATTGGCGGCGCTGTGGCCGCCGTGGTCTTGGTGGCCATTGTGATCATCTTTGTTGTTCGTCGTCGACGTAACCCCAAGGCTGCCCAGGCCCCCGATGCTGTAAGTTATGATGCCTTTGTCGTTCTTAGTTTGGGCTTGTTCGATGCATTGTCTCACAGCGTTTTATGTGCTTGCAGAATTTCAAGGGGGATTCAAGCTACCGTACGGGTGTCATTAACCCGCTGTGTAAGTTTTGGCACTCTCCACACCGCCGGTCTTCTCTTTATGCGGCTTCTTGACGAGAGACATGTGTACCATGGCGGGCTCTCATATTTTGCGATTTGCTCTACAGATGGCAACGTTGATACATCAGATCAAGAGGGTGTTTATGGCGAGGTTGGTTTGCCTGCGGATGATGCTGGTTCAGACATCGATCAGGATGGCTTCTACCAAGATGTGGCGCCTACGGACTTTGATGAAGATGACAATATGGACGGCAATGGTGATGGCTACTTGGCCGTTGGCGCCGATGAGGAGCTCGGCGGCATGCAGGGTCTCGATGCAGTTGATGGTGTGGAGGAGGAAGCCGGTTATCTGGATGTACCAGGCGATGCAACGTATGATGATGTTACTTTCCAGGGTGCGCTTGACGACCCTTTTGGTGACGATGGCCTGGATGACGACCTGGATGATGGCCCCGAGGCATACATGGATGTTAACGCTGAGGAAGAAGACCTCAACTTTGATCCTGCTGATGATGTTGGCTACACTGATGTCGCTGGAGCTGATCTTGCTGATGATTTTGATGGCTTTGGCGAGGAAGAAGAGGATGACGAGGTTGACGAGTAACTGTCACCTACATCTGCATCGCTTTCGCCAGAACAATTTTGACCATTTTAAGTCGCACGTGGCTGCCCTTGTAGTGCGGTGTATTTCGTCACATTGGCTTCATGTATGCGAACAACCTTATCCATTTTCATCGGCTCGGCTAAGATTTTGTGTATTTTATCGTGTGGTGTGAAGCGGAGTGCGATCATGATTTCTCTCAACCCAACTGTTTGGGTTGAGAGAAGTTTCGCACCTGTTTTGTGTTTTTTCCTTTTTGGTTTTCGTTGCATCTTCTTCTTTTTTGTTTTGATTTGACTTGTGTAAACCACGAAGGGGTTCTTCGTGGCGGGGTATAGCGTTGAACTAGCTGGCTGCCGTTCAGTGGCTGTTTTCGCACCCCTATGCGTGCTGAAAGTCTTTTATTTCCCTTATGCGCTTCTACTTTTTCTTTTTTTTTTCTGTTCCTTTTAATTTTTTTTTTTTGCTTTTTTTTTTTGCTTTTTGGTGTGGGCACGACTTGATCTCGAAGTTCGTCCTCTTCAATTGATTCTCTTCTGTTCGAATCACGCACACACAACACATACATGTACGTCCACATCGAAAATTTTAACGTGTCCATCGAAAGAACATTTGACAAACATGTGAGCGCTTGCTCGTTTTCGCTTTTTCGGACTTTGACTTTAGTTGTGACTCAAGAAGAGTTGGATGGCTTCCTGTACATTGCCTTCGGGTCCGGCGAAGAGTGCGTCCATGAATTGCATCGAACGGGCATGGCTACCCTCACAAGCCTTCAACTTGTCAAACAACTTATTCAAAGTTTCCTTGTGCAAATTGCGCCGCGCTTGATCAAGCACGTCAGGCACACCCTCATATGCACCCTCCGTCAATGAATTGAGCAAGTCAGAGCCGAGTAGACGCTTCAGATCCGGCAATGATAGGATCAAACGGTAACTTCCTGGGTTGGAGTGACGCGCCGTACGCCCCTGGATTTGGATTTCCTCCGCAATATCTTGTGACAAGAACGTCTGAATCACGTGCACGCCGCCATTGTCGATAATGTTGCGGTCCAATACGACGAAATCCGAGCCACGGCCAAAAGGGGCTGTTGCCAGTGTCACGGTGTCCGCATTGGTAGCCTGGTGGATGCGCTGCGGTATGTCGGCTTGGTCCTTGTCGATGATGTTGATTGTCAGGCCTGCCAGCTGGCTTTTAAACGGGGTGGATGCCATGAACGCTTGCAAGTCCTTTGTATCCTTAAAAAAAGCAATCACAGCGCGACCTTCGGATTGCTTCAAGCACTCCTCCGCGACCTGCTGATGCAAGCGATCAGAGTCTGCAACAATCTGCACACGATCACGCCGCAATTTGTGTTCACCGTACATGCTGGGTAAGGCCGTCGATCGCTGAACATTGAGTTCTCTCTTCAGCACTGTCATGTCGTCGGGCAGTGTTCCCGAAAGGCCACCGACCACATCAAAGTTCTGAATCATCTTGAAAAAGCTGAAGTTGCCTGCATTCGCATGTAAGGCAAATTTCGACTGAATCGTGTTCGGCTCGTCGGCACGGTGTTCTTCGGTCAGATAGGCGTATTGAGTCTCATATCCATAAAAAGTGCTTGTTGAAGGTTGATCGAGCCCAGCGAGATCATATGCGATCCGACCATTTTGAACTGTGTACGGGTGCTCTTCGGCCGCATGTGCCGCCCGGTCTTTCACGAGCTTCTTCAAAGTCGTCATGATGTAGTCATGAACATGAGCGTAGCGTTGCAAGAGACGTTGGGACGCCTCAAGGTTGATCACTTGCTCCAGGGACAGTGTTGCATCTTGCCATAGTGTCCGCAAGATACTCTCAAAGTCTGCGTCCTTCTGTGATGCCAAGGGATTATAAGTCTCAGCTAAGAAGATGGGGGCGAAAAGGACATCAACCTCATCGACCAGCAAGATCTTGGGCCGTGAGGCTTTGGGCTTCTTGCGCTTAGACAGGGTGTTGTCGGCAATCAAACGCTGAACGGCTGTACGCATGCATCCCCGCGCATTCAGCTCCCTTTCAGCCAAGGCCTGCATGGTGCTGTATCGAATGTTGCCATGTACCCCCATGGTCTTGAAAAATGCCTCAAAATCCTTGTAGTCGCGCGAACTCAGGATGTCACTGTAGCACGCACATGATACATCGAAGCCCAACAACGCATAGAGCACGCAAGCAAAGCCCAAAATGATGCTCTTGCCACCGCCAGTTTGCACCTGCACAAAAGCTCCACCAAGCTTGTTTTCCTGGCCGCCCACAAAGGCCTTGATCCACGTGCCGAAACGAGTTAGGGAATCATCGCCGGCACCAAACCCCAAAAGCTCGAGCAGAGCCAAAACTTGCACGACATGAAGCTCCTTGTAAATGCCGTGGTGTGTTCGTGTGGTTTCGGCCAGTTCTGCTAGGCTGGTCAGGCTCCAGATAGCCGACAACAGTGCTAACAGACCGGGCAGTTGTTGTGACATTTTGGAAGGTGTCTGAGCCAGTTTGCGGCAATTGGCTTGCACTTGGGCCACCAGACGTGGTACTTGATTGGGGTTCTTCATGTGACTTTCAAACTCGGAGCGATACGCGCCATAAGCATCGCGTAGACGATTTGCATGAGCAGGCGAAACTTTTGCGGAATTTTCTGGCTTGGTCATCTCCTTCAGAGCCTGGTCAATGCCCATGCCAAGCGTTGCCTCCTGACGCTGTTTGATGCGTGCGGCTTCGAATTGTGGGTGGCCTGCTTTGACCTCTTCTCCATACCTGCCATGTTCTCTCCTAGACAGAAGCTGTCCAAGGCAAAGATCATTGTCACGCTCCTTTCGGCGATTGCCACCGGCCGACTGACGAAGCTCGTGCAGTCGCTTGGTTGTGAGGAGCTTGACTTGATGCTTGATGTGACCAGAGATGCTATTCGAGGCCAGCTCTTGCATGCTGACGAGACACGTTGCCAGCTGCTCTAAATCGTCGACAAATGGTTCGGTTCGCTTGTCGAGCTCAGCCTTCAATGCCTCTTCCTGCATGGTGCCGATGCGCGATGCATCTGAAAACGATGTCAGGTCTGCGGCCAGATCAAACGAGAAGCGCATTTCCTTGTTCAAAGGTCCCCATTTCTTCTCGGCCACGTGACTGGGTACTCGATCGGCGGCAGCTGCGGCAAACTGCATCAAGCTAGTCTCGACATTTTCTTGTGCTTGCTTGAGATCTGCCTCAAGCCAGGGCTGCGGGTCCAAAGCAAGTTTGGTAAGAACACGATGCAACGCGCCAATTGTTTTTGTTGGCCCAGGCGCATGGAGATGACTCTGAACGGCCGCTACCACTTGCTGGCACAGGTCGCTCCAGTGTCGCTGAATCTTTTGCAAAGTGTCGTGAGGGTTGCACATGCGACTGTTCTGAACCACGATGGCAGGAGCTTGTTCTTCGTACATTTTCGCCGCCCGCTGCAGCACCTGCAGTCTTTCCCACAGGGTTTTGGCCTGAAAGCTTGGCTGAGTCAAGTCTGTAAGACTGAGTTGATCCACCCGGTCACTGCCATATTGAAAGGTGGTTGATTTGACTGATTTTTCTGATAGAACCTGAGCGAGCAGAGGCTCAAGGGGGACAGATGCCGCTGGACTCAGTGCTTTGAAGCGGTCAAAGCTGGTCTGAATAGTCTCGCATGCTGCTTCAGCTTCCAAAATGCGCCAATTGACGAAGGAGTCGAAGCACTGCTTCAAATCTGCATGAAGCTGCGAGGCAATGGCGCGCTCTGCTGTGGTCAGGACTTCCCCCAAGATATCTTGCACAAACGTCTCATTGAGCGTCGACTGCGTGAGCCCGGCGTGAAATGCAGTCAGGCCTGCCAAGCGATCCAGGGCGTCAGGAGTGACCTTGACCCCTAACTCATTATGGGATCGTCCTTGCAGAATGTCCTCAATAGCTTTTTGGCAGGTGGTTTTAGCGACGTCAATAAAGGCGTGCATGTGCTCCGGCTTGCTGGTATTAAGCCGTTGGAGCAGGCCATGCGCCACCTGTGGTGTCAAGGCTGGATACCGGCTCTTGTGCAGTATATTTTGCATTGCCTTTTGGAGGCGCTGACGATCTTGACTCAACCGAGATTGCTCAGTCTGAAAGGGTGGCAAAGATTTGCTCTGCAGAGGAAAGTAGAAGCATCGGTTGTAGCGGTCCAGACGGTCCTCGACCACTTTCAAGTTTTGCCTCTCGTGATACAGCGATGCTTGAATAGCCACAAGCTCTTGCTCAGCGGCACTAGACACCCAGTCGCAGACTCTGTTGGCGAGAGCCGGTAGATCAAGCACATGCTGCAACAGCTCGGCGCTTTCATCCCGCGCATTGACAAAGGCTTGTACGACACTAGCCAGCGTAACACCATCGGCTGCAGCGATCAGCTGTCTGACATGTTGTTCCACGTCAGTACTCAATGTGTTGACTTTGTTTTGAATGGTCAAGAAACACGCATTGGCAGCCTCATTGCGGCTCAAACACTCCCACGCCTCGAGGTCAAGATACAGATCGTGAAATGCGGTAAAGCGATACGCAGCAAGAGCTATGCCCAGGCGTCGTGACAAGTCCTCAGCGACCTTCAGCACGATTGCGGCAAAGCCTTCGTCAATCTTTTGCAGGTCGGGCTCGGTAACCTCCCCGTGAAGCACCTCCAGGCTGAAGAAGAAGCGATCCAGCTCGTCCAGTTGGCTCAAAGCGTCCGCACGTGCCTCGGTGGGTGCACGCGCGCGTGTGCAAGTGCGAGCGTGGCGCTTGGCTGCGTTCAAAGCTTCAGATGTCTGCCGCTGCAGCTCACGTTTAGCAAGCCCACAAAGAGTACTGAATGGTGCTCGCCACTCAGGCGTTTGCTGGGCCGCCTGCCGGACTTCGGTCAAAATTCCCTGAACTTGGTCGTAGTCCACGTCCGCCAGACTGCGTGACAATTCATCTTTAACCTTGGTCATAGCTTCTGCATCCATCACTTCGAGGGTGGACAGGATATCGGCTACCTCGGGCAAATGCAACTCAAGGACCACTGTGCTGATAAGCACGTTCTTGACTGTCTGTGCCATTTCCACACCACCGGCACTCATGTGCTCCGTGTATTGGGTCCGCAGCTCTTCGAAGCGGCGTCGCAGATCCTGTTGAGCCTTATTGTAGACGGGGTCCACAATGGATTGAATTTCGTGATCTTGACTCCGCACCAAGCTGGCCAAAAGATCAAGTTCGGCGCCAGCAGTTGCTGGCTGCGGGCTTGCCAATTTTTCACGCACAGCTTCATGTAGCTGCCTCACCAACGCGCGAACGTTGTCGACGATCTGAGCACGGCTGCTTGCCAGGCTTTGCAACAACGCTGCCCATGCTGTGCTGCGCAGCATGGGGTAGCAAGAGCTCAGCTGCTCCACCTGCAGAGTCAAAGACGAGAGCCACTGCAGCGTTTCTTCGCGCACGCCCTCAGTGGTTTGGCTTATGTCAAAGGCACTCAAGCGTGTTTGCACACCACCAAGGTTATTGATAAGCAGAGCCACTTGCTCATCGACAAATTCTTCACCTATCACTTGTTTCACTGGGTGCATGTGCTTCAAGCACTCGAGCTCACGTTCGGGCTGCACAGCGTTGACGTTCATGAGAGACGACGACACATTGACCACTGCTGCACGCAGACACTCACGAAGACCCTCCACCGTCTGTTCGACAACGCTCTGTATGTTTGCGATGGACAAACTGCGGCTGGGCTCGTTTGTTGGATCGCCATTGGCACGGGTGGGCTCGCACAGTAAGCGACCGTCTGCAAGCATCGGGTCGAGCCAACTCCAAAGCTCAAGCTCCCGAATGGCAACAGCCATATCGCGAAACGTTTCTCCGTTTGCTTCGTATTGAAGAATGGTATTGAGCTTGGCCTGGCACATGCTTTGCTTGGTGGCGAGCTGACAGAGCAAACTGTAGGCATGGCGATGCGCATCACGCACCACCTCATTGGACTGAAAGCACATAAGCAGAATCAGAAGCTGGTCGAGTGCTTGTCGGGTTTTCTCGAGGCGGGCCCCGTCTTGGGCTGTGGAGATGGCATTACAGATGCGCTCACGGATGGCTGCTTCAAAACGCGCCAGCTGCTCCCGATACTGTGGACGGTTGGCGCTAGCAGCGTGACATTCTTTGTCAAAGGAGTCGTCCAAGATCCGGAGTAGTTGCATCAGGATGCAAAGATCCCGGCTGGCTTCGGCGTCAACGTGCTCGTGGGCCAAGCAACTCACAATCTCAGCGACATGATCACACACCTTTTCGTAGGCGTGGCTTATCTGCACTTGCTGCTCATTAAACAGGGTTCTGGTTTCCTCGAGCTCAACGAGAGCACTGTAGGCCTGGGCCCGTGAAAGTAGATTGAAAGAATTGCGCAAAGCTTGCCACGATGCATTTGTTGGAGTCTTGTTGGATGTGTCCGCATGGGACAGGCACTCGATGATGCTGTTGCCAATAGCTCGGCTCTCGCGTGCTTGTCGTTGCAGATCCTGTGCAATTGGGTTCCAGAGGGGAGACTCGCAACAAAGAGAGCCCAGATGCTGATCAAAGCGAGTCAAAGTTGTGGCTACTTCAATCGCCTCTGGTCGTGGTGCAAACGACTGCTCTTGGTTGGCCTCCATCGTCTGCGTTGCCAGGGTCGTGCCCCAGTCTTGGGCTTGCTTTAAAAGGTCACTTTTGAGCATTTCCTGGTCCCAAGTGGTAGTCTCTGGCATCGAAAGACCGCAGTATGAGTAGAGACGGGCAAACAAGCCGTGGTCGACTGCTTGATGCTGCCGCAGTTCTTTGTTGTAAGCATCAAGGTGCTGGAGTGCCGCAAAGTGGTCGCGCGAAGCTTCAAAGCTGTTCTGACGCAGCGTGCTCAAAAAGCCTTGCGTGTGGCAGGAAAACATGCCATACAAAGAACCCAAGGCTTTGTCATACAGTGAGGTGATGTAGGCATTGGCCAGCAGGGCACTGAGTCGGCGTAACGTGGACAACATCTTGACACCTGAGGCCCAACTGGGTCGATCAGAATCGTTCAAGCAGTCGTGTAGGCGTTCAAGCACGTTGTTGGCGGCATTTTGCACAGCAGCCAACTTGCCATCTTGTAGGGGTGAACCCAGCGGTATGGATGGGGCCTGACAATCACTGAGACCGTTGATGAGCAAATCGCGAAGATGTTCTGGGGAGGGCTGCTTCAAGTGTGGGCGAAGCAATAGCGCGTTGCCCCAGCGACGCAGCTGAGAAATGATGTGAGCAAGCACATTTTGCTGAAAAACAGACTCGGAAACATCCAGGCGGGTTGCATGTTGATCGAGGTGCTCAATAATGGCCTCTGCATCCGTTTCAGCCTCCAAATGGCTAAAGAGACAAACGAAACCAGGCTGCAAGGCTGCAAAGTCGGGCGAGAGTCGGTTCAGGCTTTGCAGCTGGTTGGCTAGATAGCCAGCGCCGCTCATGCTTTTATAATTAAGCACAAGTACAATGCGTCTGCGCTGTATAGCCTCGAGGAGTTGTCGTAGTAGAATACAGTTGATGAGGCCGAGCGTCTCGTTGCGCGTCTCTGTCCAGCCAGGAGGGTCAATGAAGACTGCATCCTCAAGCATGGCAAGTCGAGGTATCACCGTGTGCGCTTCGGTCCCGTTGCCCACTAGGCCGCGGTATCTCGGTGGGGTGCCGTATTCAAGGTTGAGCTGCTTGCGTCCACCAGCAGTTCGACCCTCCTCAAAGCGAACACCCTCCAACGTCATCATCAAGATTGACTTGCCCACGCCGCTGTCACCCAGCAATAGACAGCCGGGGCGTTTGCCTGCAGCTAGGCCAAAGTCCCTGATCTTCTCAAATTGAGCAGAGGCCCAGGTAAAGCACAAATTGGCCATCACCATCACATTGAGAGTGGCACTGTGTTTGATCGTGTACGTGCCATCAGCATTGATCTGGATTCCTGCGCCTCCACGAGTGATGGGCGACGCTAAGGCAGTACGGGGCGCATCAGATGGCATAGCGGCCGTCATTGGCGTGACTCCTGGACTTGCGTCACTTTGTGCCAAAGAGCCATGTTCGATGCCTGCGCTGGAGGCTAAAAACGAGCATGCACGACCGAGCACACAACGATGGAGCAGCATACTGAGTGAGAAGTGCAGTTTGATCAATCTCGCAGAAGTTAATGGAAAAACTTCACCATAATTTTTTTTTTTTTTTAATTTACAGAGACACATGAACATACCATCGCTGGGATCGACAATAGACCAGCCAGACGACATGGCCGAGGCAGCATCTCTAGCAAGACGTGTCAGTGAAACAGGATGAGCAACCGTGCACGCGGACACAAAAGCACGCGGGGTTAGTCTCCCAAAACATACTGAATGCGCTCTTCCAGCAGTTCATCAAAGATAGTCATGTCTGCGCCTTGCTCAATGTTGTTGCAGGCGGCCATGCCGATGATGCTTTGCAACAAAAGGCGTCAGCAGGGCCGCGTGGTCGTATGTTTTGCCAAGTCAACAAGTTTCAGTGTGTAGTGGCAGAGCTTCCTACTAGTTGTCCAGTCCAGACAACTAGGTAGAAAATGCAACTCGATCGATAATTCTTCTCCAAGAAGTCTCATGATCCGGGTGGCGTCAGCGCTATACGGTGTCATGATATTGGGCGTCTGCTTGCATCGAATGACGCCATTTCATCGCAAGCATTTTCATCTTAATGCTTGCTTGTGCATGAAATGTGTATTGTTAAAGCATGTTTTTTGTCCTTCCAATCAACCCCCTCCTTAGCTTGGCATTGACGCGTCTTTGAAGTGGACGCCGCTGGTGTCTGCACCCATCGCTTGTCATGACTGTTTGTTGCCTTGTCGATATCGGAGTCCGCTGGTTTTGTACAATCACTCTTGCCCACTTTGACACTTTGACGGAGAGCCCCCCCATCTTCCACGCCGCGTCACACCTGCTTTTCATCGAAAACCGCAAATCGCTCAACCCACTGCATTTACCACTCCATCAGTGCCAATAGCTAGCTGAGCTACGACTGCAGTGCCTTCCACCACCCGCGAACCTGTGACTCGACTCGGACTCGACATGAGGGCTCGAGACTCCATACGAACAATGTTAAAAATGAAGAATCACATTATACTTACCGCGCCACAAAAAATGGTCTGACAAATGAAGGTCCATAGTGTCATGTTCTTCACACTATCGCATCAAGAGCAACGGGCGGCGGCGACGGCGGAGCAGGTGGAGCCATTTTTGTATGTGCGCGCGCGCGCGAGTGTGCGTCTGAGTGTGTACGACGACTGAAAGACTCAAAGAACCGGTGGCAGGTCTGACAGACGGGGGTTACATGCCAAATTAACTGGGTATAACGAGCTTGACAGTCCAAGCCCCTTTCTCTGACCAACTTGGGCTCAAATTTGCTTGTGCCGCAAACGTCGAGGAGTGAGACATTGCAAGTGCCTGTCCCTGTGAGACGCGCGGCGGAGAGGACGACAGGGTTTTGGGCCCTGCGCTTTGCCCTGTCTGGGCATTGTGCATTTGTGAGATGTGCTTGACTTTGGAATGCTAAGATAGCCAGTGGTCAAAACGCCGCCACCACGGTCAGGCCTAGCGATAGCAGCTGAGCTCAACGCACACAGCGCTCGCCCCACAACATGGCTGGACTGGTGATGCAGGTGGGAATCGTGTGTTTTGAACTTGCACCGCGCATGCCTCTTGACATTGCAACAAGCAACCGCCCTCTAATACCATGCACGCCGCCTTTGCATACACTACATGACGCTATTGTAGAATAGCCCGCTGGCCGCCTATCTACAAGGTTGTTTTGCACCCCGTCTTGTACTCAATCTTGTCTCCTAAAATGTGCGATTCCCAACCTGACACCATGTTCTGTGTGACCTAGACGTGGATGCACAAAATTTTGCATCCGAAACTGCTTTTGTCCAGCAGCATGTCAAGGCACCTGTGCCACAAACATGGCCACGCTGGCAGCAAACAATACACTGGTTACAAGGCTGGATCAAGCGATTTCGACCTGCAGGCCAGCAAGAGCTGGAGCAGTTGCGGCGCATTGAGTTGGCGCGCGAGATTCTGGCGTGTCCATTGCTCCTAGAGCACGATGCCCTCTTCATCCTCGATCAGTATGATGTGCAAGCTCTGGAACGCCAGGCTACATGGCAAGCCTTGCGCTGGCAATTAATCTTCGGGACGGCTACCTCCTGCTGGCTCGCCTGGCATCTAGCCAAAATGTTTGACCTATCGGGTCTGGTAGATCGCGCCACTACGGTGGTGATTGCAGCGCTATGCCCCTCTTGGATGCGCGAGGCGTTTTGGCAGTTTCAGAGCACCACCCAGAGCATGCAGATGACCGTCCAAGAAACTGTTCAAGAGAGTGATCTCCTTGGCTTTGTCGCAGAGTTTTTTGAGGATGAAACTGATGCCAGCCCCATGCTGTCCATTTCTTGGAAGGACGCTTGTATGGGCTTGATCTCCATGGCCTCGACCGCATACTTGACAGCCTCAGCTGCGCATTGGAACTTTTGGCGAAAGCACTATCACCAGGTCACAAAGAGCCTCACCAGCATCGAAGCACAGGAAGCGCGCTTGTCCGAGAGTCTCAGCCTGATACGACGTTTGGAAGTCATGGCACAGCGGTGGGGAACAGGCTTGCCCACCAACGTTGAGTCCAGGCACGAGATTGCCCGGCCCTTGCGCATTGCCATCGATTTTGCGGGTAGCGAAGGATTGTTGGCTGTGCAGGAGAATCTCGTGCAGGTGATAGCTGAGGCAGACGATCCAACTTTGTCGGACCCCTTACTAGCCTGGCCCAGCTCGCATCCAGGTTTGCTTTTAGCTTGGCAGAAAAAAATCAAAACCAACAGGGCTGCCAATTCTTGACTTGTTCACGCCAAGCCTCCACGCATGCATATACAGGCACCTGGACACAAGAGTTTTGGAGCCCGGCCGCCGCCGCGCTCGCTGCACGAGCGCGCGAAACGAATCAATGGTCACTGGACCACCTGCAAGTACGTACGCCAACCTTTCCCTGCCCTGCCATGTTGGCAATGAAGAGCTCGCTCACTTTGAACAATGGGCCACCATACCAGCACATTCATCAACAAGGCTTGATTAGCACATCAGGGTTCCTCCGGTATGTCTCTTAAAAAGCTTTCTGGATTCCGCTCGCGTGTTGCCCAAATAGGCCACAAATATTGTCCCGACAGGGCTCATCAGAGCTGTGCCTCATCATCTCTCTAATCACGTGTGGATGTAGCACTGTGGCCATGTTATTGTTGGGCGGCCGCTGTACGGCAGTCACGCTAAAGACGGCGCTAGAATCACTCCCACGAGTGGCTGAAAGGATGGAGCGCACGCATTCCTTGTTAACAGCAGCACAGACGCATCAATTAAGTGTGACCCACATGTTGGATAGCGCCGCCAGCGCCTCAGCATTACAATGTCTCGAAATTATGCGCACGTCTTCGCAACGGACGATTGAAGCATTGCCTCCACCGGCACAAGGTGCCTTTGCCACCGGAGCAGCCAGCCTCTTTGATGTTGATGCCACACGCCGACATGTAGATGTTTCCCTGCGCCATGAGGCCCAGGCTTTGTATGATGAGCTGTTGGCATGGTCGTCAGAGTCTTCTGCCTGTGTGCGCTTGGCATTCGCTCGTGCTCAACAAGAGCGACTCGAATTACTCGCATCGCAGCTTAGCACGGCCAGTGATGTGCTGCGCGCGTGCGGGGTCTGGGTTCGCACAAACCTTAGTGCACCTGCCACTGATCAAGCAAACGCATCTGACACGGTCGACACCGCCGCCATGACTGCATTGGAGGATGTGCCTGTATACGGGGAGATGGATGCTGAACCAGAAGATGTCCTGCAACAGCGAGCACAGCCTGCTGCAACCTTTACCGCTACCTTGGCGCCAGAAGTGGACAGTGCAGATGAAGAGGATTTACCAGACGAGGAACGCAAGCGCCGATGGAAAATTCAGCTGCAGCAGCGCAAAGCTGAGCTGGCCCGATCCAAGCGTGCTGAAGAAACAGCGCGTGCCCAGGCAGCCAAGGCTAAGGTTATGTTGCATGAATTGCAGACCGCCATCTCGACTATCCGGCGGTAAAGGCTCGGTGCGCTCCAAAGAAAAGTACTACTCTCACAAAAAAAATTGAACGCTCACAAAAAGTTGACACGTGCATATCAACTGAAAATGAACGTTTGCAAACACTGTCGGAGCATGCATCCGAATTTGAGGCAAAGGCCCAACAAGCAGTCCATACAAGCGGCCTCAACATGAGGATGCTAATTTGTCCAAGTTTTGTTCAACATTTTTAACTCGATTTTAAATCTGTAGCATTGAAGCCATGTGACAATTGCTACTACTAAAAAAGCATTCAACTAAGAGAGAAAGAGAGAGAACAACCGCTAAAAGTCGCATACCTAGCTTCAAACGTCTAAAAAGGAAGGAAATATAAACATGTCCCCGTTACCAGGACGCGTAACAGCCTAAGAATTTCGAGCACGTAAAAGTCACACGCAAGCCCCAGGTAAAGCCAAACTCTTTTCTGATGCACCACTAGACCATGCTCACAACAGCAGAGAGGGGCGATCGACTATGAGCATCATCCTCTGCCCCTGTGCCCCTGTCCCGTGCACTAGGATTGGCACCATCGCTAGTCTCCTCGTTGAGCATGTCACCATCATCGAGGTTAAAGACAAAAACTGACGCGTCGCTTGTTTGGCCCTCTGACGCACGCTTCTGCACCTGCTCCACTTGGGTAGAATGACGCGCCGAGTTTGATGAGTCCGTCACAGCCTCGGAAATGGCCTCCAGCTCTGGCTCATCTTTTGCTTTGCGTGCCGATGCAACGACTGCTGAAGGCCGGGCTACAGCAGAAGAATCTGCTGATTGGGATGTGGAAAAGGATTCCGCGTGCGGCTGCTTGGACGAATCATCCACCGCCGCTGGTGTTGGGGGGTCAAAGAGAGACATGAGGGGTGACACCGTGCTGTTGTTGTTCACGCTTCCGATAGTTTTCGTTGACAGGGCGCTTGGCCGTTTCCCTGACGGCGCTGCCACGCTCGCACGAGGGTCGGCATCTGGCAAAATATCTGGACCGACGGAAAGCCCATCCCCATCAACAAAAACTTGTTGGCCGTGCTGCTCGGTCCCAACTGCCGCATCGGCTGTTTCCGATTGCTCGGGCTCGACGGGAGGAGGGTTATCTTGGGCCGGCTTGCGCCGTGAGAGATCGCGCACAGCCCGCACGATGCACGACTTGGTAATGATACCGATGAGCTTGCCAAACTCTGTCACGCACGCATATTGAGCATGTAGACCATAAAGCGTGTTCAACACTTCGGACACGGGATGGTGGCCAATACATTGAAAGGGGGCGGGATTGATCTCAAAGATGTCGAGCGATAAAAGGTCCAAGCGACATAGCTCCAGCTGCCGTAAAAATTGCCGGCCATGGTCTGGGTTGGCAAAGTAGGCCATTTGCAGTTCGCGATAATTGCGAACAGTCTTGGCCGAGGCCAAGCCCCGCTTGGTACCCAGATTTCTGGTTAACGTGGCTGCGGGGCTCTCGTTCAGGCGGCGGCGTAGAGCAGTCTTGGTTAACGTGCCCATGCTCCGACTCAGAGTGTTCTCGCGAGAGCGACCAATGGTGGAGTGATTGCTTAAATCGGAGCCAGTAACTGTTTTGTTTCGCCGAGCGTGTGCCTTCAGCTGCACCTCAATGGCCGAGTCCATGGTGGACGTGGTAGAGGGGTCGCCCGGCCGAGGTGCTGAATCGGCCTCAATCTGGTTCTGGAAGTCGATGCGCTGACGCTCTTGGTAGCGAATCGTGCCTCGACTCAGCTGGTGCCGCGCGATGGTGCCCAGTAGAAGCATGTTGTCGAGGGTATCGACAATGATAACCAGTTCCTCAAAGTCTTCATAAGGGGTTTGTAAGATTTCGTTGATCTGGCCTAACGTGCATATGCGGGGAAGCACGGGCAAGATGACCGGCTTGCCAGTCTCTGGGTGATCAAAGCGCAGCTGATTGAAGGGAATCATGACTTCGTCCGCAGTCAAGTGATAGGCAGCATCCGTCTTGATCGTGGGTAGGTAATCCCACTTGCCGTGGATCAACATCGAGTCATAACTGGAAGGACTGAGCCGATCACCAATGGCAATGGCCAACAAAACCACCAAGACAACTGGCACTATATAAGCCACCGATCCCACGCTCTCGCTCACAATAATCTGCAAACAAACAGACAAGGGGAAAAGAAGATGAGGAATTCGCATTTAAAAAAAAAAAAAAAAAAAAAAAAAAACTCAAAAAGAAACGTGGTGCGCCGAGGCCCCAAGCATCGCTCTCCTTGCCAAAAACCAGCAACTTTCACGCCTGAACCTGGTGGATGAAAGAAGAAAGGCTGGGCCAAATAAAAACCACACATGCTCAGACCGTGCGACTTACGGCAGTAGAGACGGTTCGAGTAACACCGGCCCCCATTGCTGCTGCACCAACAATAGCATAGCCCGCTGGTGTCACGTGAAGTCCCGGAAACCAGACAGCCATGAGCTCGCCCACGCAGCGGCCCCACGCAGCTCCTGCCACAAGACAGGGAAGAAACAGTCCGACTGGAAGAAAGAGGGTGGTGGACATGACGCTAAGGCAATAGATGACTAGGCCGATGACAAGCAGGGTCACTTCGGTGGAGTAGATATTGCCGTAGTCCTGCCCATTGGGTGATGAACCAAGTGTCTGGTTGGTCACCAAATCCTCCAAGGTATCACGCAGCGGATTTTGCAAGTAGTCACCCGTCACAAAGGTCAGCACGCCCGTTAGCACGGCCACGAGAAGGGCAATGGTGTCGATGAAGATGGGCTTTTTGATGGTGAGAAACTGGAAGCGCGGGCTTTTGCGCATGCGCAAGAAAACGGACTGGATGTGGACAAAGAGCGCGCCGAGGAGAGCGCCCCCAATGCCGATAATCGTGAAAGCGACCAGCTCAGCGCGATCAAACCCGTTGAGCTTGAGCTCAGTGCCGATGTAGTGGAAGTGATCACCCGTCACGAGGTAAACAAATACTGCGCCCGCCGCTGAGGCAAAGAAGCCCTTCCAGAAATTCTCGACTTGGTAGGATACGGAAGTACTCTCGACGCTGAAGAGCAACCCACCCACTGGAGCACGCACGGATGACGAAACGCCCACGGCAGCCGCTGAAGAGCAGAGCTGGTGCACAATGGGTAGGTTATCTCGTAAATCATCAAAAGCCGGGATGTAGGTCACCATCAGCAAGGCAATAATGGCGGCAATATGAACAAAAGGCCCTTCTTTGCCTAAATGTGAGTGAATTGGTGAGAGGATAGGAAGTGAATGAGTCTTCTTTGGTTCGGAGGCACAACTTGGGCGTCACCGCTCGCCTTGCTTTGAGACTTGTCTTAATAACCAGACGAAAGAAGTTTTTTGTTGGAACGCGCCAAATTGAGATGGGCCACGGCAAGACGCACCGACAAAAAGCCCTGAACCCAAGCCCAGAGTCAAGCCAATGCTCTTGGCAATCAAGGTTCGCACCGTGAATTCGCCCTGCATCTTGGCCCCCGACAGGAACACACGCAGTTGCTGATTTCCAACGGAGGGGGCCGGTGAGGAAGACGGATGGGAGCACGCGTATTGATTAGCCATCCATGTTCGGAAAGACGTACCGGGATACCACTGCCTCGCGCGGCTGGAGACACGTAAAATGTTACCATGGTTGCAGCAACGGCCAATCCGACAGTTGAGAGCATCCAGTAGCCAAATTGAGCCGAATAGCTGAGTTGTGTACTGGTGGCGATTCGCCCACGCAGGTTGACGAGGTGCGAGCCGACCAGCTCGATGACGTAATCAATAATGGCAGCTAGCGCACCCAAAATGAGCAGAAAACTAATGGTACCCAACCGAAACTTGCTGCGCGTGAGCTCTTGTTCGAGGTCGCTCATGCCGGGCGGAGAGCGGCCGAGGCCCAGGTCGGGGTTGAAGGGCAAATGTGCTTCGCTCTGATAGCCGGCGGTGTGGTGTTGGTCTGATTTCACATGGCGGCGATGCACGCGGTTATGCAGAATTGTCTCCAAATTTCGACGACGACTGCTACTGAGCCGATCTGCGTGAACGAAGAGGGAACAACAAGTCAGTCGATCAGATGAGCTGAGCCCATTGAGCGAGTCGCGTGAATGACCACACGGCTTGAGGCAGTGACAAACCGGGGTGGGAGGTTGCGTTCCGTTTGGTCACGCGATGCAAATCTTGGGTGATGCTGGCACGAGCAGAGGCATCGCTGTGCAGATCCGCTCGTCGAGTGGCATCGGGCAATGAGGAGAGGCAAACCTCATCCAGACCCTGGTTGATGCGGCGCCGTTGACTTGGGGAGCGGGTTGCAGTCGTACTCTTGGAGGAGGGCCTCGGAACTGAGATGTGACCCTCATGATTCCCTTCTGTTTGGTTGCGCTCGGCATCAAAGCGCACAGTTTTGCGACTGTGGTTAACGGACTGGCTGGCATCTGCTACAACACGGGCATCGCTGGCCTGGTCGGTGTGTGAAGTGAGTTCCTCATTGTCGTGAGCAACGGACATGTCATCGCCACTGCTGGGCGGTGCAAATAGATTGATGAGGTTTTGCGCGTGCTCGGAGAGGGCCTCGGATTCCTCTTCAGGGGCAGAATTATGAACCGTGGGCCGCCTTTGCTGCAGATAACGAAGGGTAAGGCCGTTGTCATCGTCATTGGCATCCGACGTCGGGGCATCAGAGGCTACCGTGATGATGTATGAAATCGGACAGAAACTAGAGTTAGGTTTGATTTCAGACACGAGGCCCTTTGCGAGGGTGAGAATGGAACGATGGCAAGTCAAGGAGTAAGAGCATACCGGCATCGGAGTCGGGGTCCGATTCTAAGTTGGAGCCGCGATTCAGGCGCTCATTCGATTCTGACACGTGGGTGTTCAAGATGCGGAAGCGGCTTCGGCGTGGGGCTTCCTCATTGGCGCTGGCGTCTTCACTCTCTTGTACGACAATGGGCGAGCATGGTGGCGTGACAGGGACGGCCAATGACTCGGCAGACGCCATCAAAGCAGGATCAACCTCCGGCAAGGCGGAGGCCGACGCCGACGCCGACGCCGACGCAGGGCTAGTTTGAAGTGATGGCGAGGTCGGATGGGGAGCGGCAGTGGGGTTGTCAACTTTATCGCCTTGCACCTCCTGGGAATGTGACTCGTGATCCTCGGGTGGTGTTGGATCGGTGCGCTCGTCGGTGCGTTTGATTTGGAAACGACCCTTGACCGTGTGAGAGGAGGGTGTGACGTGGTGGCGGTGGCCGGGATTATGAACGTGGTGCGGGTGCGGGTGGGAATGGTAGTGGTGTGAATGAGACGCATGAGGCGGCCCATGATGAACGGTGCTAAAGTCAGTAAGGCTGGCATTGCGCGAGGGTCCACGTGAGCTGGCACGGGAGGAGTGACGGCCGCTTTCTCGTCGGTGACGAGCGCTGCTCTCGGCGTTTTTGAGAGAGTTGTGGGAGTGGTGGCGCCGGTGGAGCTGGCGCTCAGCAGAGTGAACGGAGGAGGAGCGAAGGTGAAGCGGAGAGTCGGGCTCGGAGTCTGAGACAGCCTGAGCCCCAGCCTCAGCCTCAGCTTCAGCTTCAGGCCCAGCCTCAAAGGCTGCGAGCGAGGGCGGACGATGTAGGTCCCTGCGTGCTTGCAGCGGCGCAGGTTGTGGCGGCGGCGCACTGGGCTGTGTTGTCTGAACTGACACACCCTCGGCCTCGTCAATGTCGTTGAGGGAGGTTGGAGGAAAGGACGCCTCACTAGTCACGTTGTCTGGGCTTGGCAAAGGAGGCTCGGCTTGATTGGAGCCCTTTGTAGATGACTCCATCTCAGCGAACGTTACGGTAGAGTCAGCCAGGGCTACTTGAAGACGTGGGCCTGCGTTGAGGTTAGCCCGAACGAGGCAACGCAGTCACCATTGTGCGGCAGCAAAGACACAACGCAAAAAGGAGAAGATGAGTGGAGGTGAAAAGATCGTTCGGGGCTTGTTTTGCTGTTGGTGACTTTGAGGAAACGCAAGGACGTCCCAAGTGGATTGGCGCAAGAAAGCAATGGGCGGCGAGTCGATGCAAAGCTGTAAACACCGTACCATGGGAGCATGGCTGTTCACAGCCTGGCGCGCCTGCTGCTTGCTTTGCTGTAACAATACCCCTGTTGCAGCAACCGATAAAATGGATGACTTGGCTGGCAGCAGCGTGTGGACTTGAACCAAAATCTGCAGCGGCCACGGGCCAAGAGCACAAGAGCACAAGTGCACCGTTTAATGAGTGAGGTGATGACAGGCGCCTCGTTTATGTGGTGCACATACGCTGTGTGCATGCATGTGTTTGCGTATGCGTGGGTGTGCATGTGTGTGAGAAAAAGACGACACACTCGAGCACACACGCGTTGTGCTTGCGCGACACCATCCACCACAACGTCACCAACAACATGAGGACAAAAAGAAAAGGAGCCGGGTGGACAACAGCAAATGATGGTGTCCACGGAGAAGAGCGCTCGTCGTAGAAACTGAACAAAGGTCTGCCAGCGCCGCCACAGCCACCTGCCCTCAATCAGGAAAAAGAGCTTACAACACACAAGAGAGTTTTTGTGTGTGTGTGTGTGTGTGTGTGTGTGTGTGTGTGTGTGTGTGTGTGTGTGTGTGTGTGTGTGTGTGTGTGTGTGTGTGTGTGTGTGTGTGTGTGTGTGTGTGTGTGTGTGTGTGTGTGTGTGTGTGTGTGTGTGTGTGTGTGTGTGTGTGTGTGTGTGTGTGTGTGTGTGTGTGTGTGTGTGTGTGTGTGTGTGGTGTGTGTGTGTGTGTGTGTGTGTGTAAAGAGAAAGACAGAGACCAAGACAGGCAGACAAGTAGGCAGGCAGAGACACAGAGCGACAGCCGCGCACAGAGACGGAGACAGACAGATATACCGCACACAAGTGAGAGCAAGAAGGAGACAGGCAGACAGAGAGACAGAGAGACAGAGAGTCAGAGAAAGACACACAGAGAGATAGAGAAAGTGTTGACACTTTTGAGCAGCAACTCTCTTTTCTCTCCTTGAACGCGCTTGTTTTGCTGATTGAGCAGAGAGAGGGGGAGAGTTGTACCCAGCAGCTGTGTCTGTTGGCTGGCACGCATCGCCGACCCGGCAGGTCGCACATGTCCACACTGCACCGCATGTTCACTGTCTCAAATAAATCATCCAACAACAACCAAAAGGTGTGCGGAAAATACTCGCAAGCCGACTCGCGTTGACCAAAGTCACTTACTCACTTGGTCCAGTCCCACACAGGAGTAACCTGCCCGCCTTGTCACGTTCTCGAGCAGCTGCCAGTCATCCAGCCTTCACACCCGCACCACAACAGTGCCACAAATCACACCAGCCCACAGCCACAGCCACAGCCGACCGGAACAAGTGAAGGGGCTGTGTATATGTGTGTGTGGGTGCGTGTGTGCAGTTGGAACGTTGAATGTGTGTGTGTGTGTGTGTGTGTGTGTGTGTGTGTGTGTGTGTGTGTGTGTGTGTGTGTGGGCGAACAAGCGAGCGAGCGAGTTGTAAAATGCGTAGTGTGTGTGTGTGTGTGTGTCTCTCTCTCTCTCTCTCTCTCTCTCTCTCGCTCTCTCTCTCTCTTTTTCTAGCTGTTACGATGTCAGATTCTATTGTCAGACGATATTTAAAGTGTGGTGTACGTCAGAGTTTCTCTTAGGTCTTGGTGAGCAGGACGAAGGGGGGCGGATGCGCTGCCGCTGCCGCTGCCGCTGCCGCTGGACGGCAGCGATGAGGGGGGAGCGCTTGGTCGAGGGCGTTGGAGCTTTGGGGGTGTCTTTCAGCTTGGATGCTCGGTTGTGGGGTGTTGCTGGCTTTGTTTTTTGTTTTGTTTTTTTGATGGGATGTACTGTCGGTTGCTGTATGTTGTGCTGTTTGGTCAATAGGATCGAAACCAGGGCGGAATGGCGGCAGTTCAAGGACGTGGGCGCAGCGACTTTGTGCGCCAGCTCTGCGCTGCGCGTGGAACTGATCCCGGCATCAGCCCACACCAGGTCGGCCCCTATGAGGCCAACCGTGTAATGCCCTTTGCAGCTACCCTCACTCAGAGAATGGTTTCTCTTCCTCGTTCGCTCAAACCCTTTGCAGAACCCTGTGCGTGTGGCCAATAACGTCATCAAAACACTGCAAACGGTCGGTTCCCGCTTTTCTTCGTTCTCCTGCTCCGCTTGTATGATTGGAAGGACGTCTCCAGGTTTTGACCCTCGGTCCCCTTGCTGCTGTTTGATGATATCCATGCCGACATGCCACAGACATCAGATGCTCTGCTGCTAACGGACCGTACTCTGCCCATCAGCCGCCTGTCACTTTTGGGCAGCATCGACGCCATCATCGGCAAGACCAAGGTAACCATGCATCAAGCGTGCCGCTTAAGCCTGTCTTCCCCGCCCTCTTCCTCTAAGCTTTCAAGCAAACGCGCATGTTGACCATGGCTCATCCCACCTGCCCGGTCCTTCTCTATTCCGTGCCAACTCGGCGTGGGAATCGGCCCCACTGTACCTCGCCCTTTGCCTTAGCTCATCACTGTTAGCGTCGGACAGATTGAAGGTCAATTGCAGTCACCCGACATTGATACCGCTGCACTGGTGGGCCGATTAGCTGGCATTGCTGAAGCTGGTGTTTTGATTGCCGAGTCCGTGGCTCAGCTTCTCTTTATGGTCCGTGCCTCCCGCCATCAACATGCACGGGCACATGACCATAGCACGAATGTGTCCCCCTGACTCTCACATCTGACCTTACCTCACCATTCTGAGATAGATGGGCATTCAAACCAATGACTGCCGTCCCCCCGTCCCTGCCATCATCGACACCTACCCTTTGATTCGGTGAGGCACTTGCCCCGCTCCGTGCCATGGCTTTTAGCACCTTTCTCACGTCACGAGCCCTGCCCATACGCACCCAAACACAGCGGCCGACTTGCCATTGAACTGGCCCTGCGCGTTTTTGAAATGCCCCTGCTGGCCGAGCAAAGCACTGTGGCTCTCGATGAAATGCTCAACATTGCCTCTGTCATGGCCACCCAACTTGAAGCCGTCCAAGATGCGGTATGCCTTTGCTCGCTGCTAGTGCCTGCGCAATCTAAACGAAGGGATGCTTGGGGCATGGAGCTTTGCCCCCTCCAGTTGCACGCCCTGAATTTGTTCTCGTTTGTTTTTGCATCTGTGCCTTGCAGTGCATCGAAGCACAAGGCCGAGCGCGCCCGGGCTGGCCCAAGGACCAGCTTGTGGCCTGCACACGGTCTGTTTATACTCCCAGAGCGCATCAAAGCCAGAACCCGTGCATCTTCCCATCACCCACCGCTGCCCTTCTGTTGCCGTTGAACAGACTGACCCATAAATGTGCTTTTTCCTATGATTAGAGCCATCAGTGGGTCCGTAGCGGCCTTTGTAGCTTGCACCAAAGAATACGCCCGCGAACCCACAGATGCCAAGCTTCGATGCCTACAAGCCTTTGCTCCGGGTGTTGCTGCTGCCTTCTCGGGCGTGGAGCAGTTTGCAACTGCCGAGTCCAGCTTTGAAGGTTTGTTCAAACCGCAACCTTGCGCCATGCTTGGCTTCGACTGTCGAGTGGCTGACCGAATCTGCGCTTTTGCGATGAATGCACTTTGTCCTAGGTCGAGCCGCCTACATCAACAATGCCGCGCGCCAAGCCGCCAAAAAATTGCGGGCACCAGCTGTCACTGGTAGGCTCTGGCGTCCTGCTTTGCTGCATCCGTTCGACGCGTGCTTTCTCATTGTGCTCGACCGACTTGTCGGTCTGTCCCGCATCGCAGTAATGAGCAGCACTATTCTGTGTGTCAAGACCATCAAGGACGTGCTCAAACAACCAACATCATCCGTTTTTCGCCAGCGCCTTTCCACGTCCGTCTGCCTTGGCCTCGCATTAGCAAACATGTGGAACAGCCTGATTCAACCTCGCCACGCCCCGTACCTTGGTTTTTTCTAGATATGCGGCCTCCATGGAGGACTCGCTGGGCATGTTGTGTGATGCCGTGCGAGAATTAGCCACCCTTGACATCCTTTTGGACGCGCCCGTTGTCAAACTCGAAGGGCTTGTCGTCACACAGGGCACGTCCTCTGCCCTTACCGCATCTGAAGTTGGCGATGACGACGATGATGACGATGATGATGACGACGACGACGATGATGATGATGATGACGCCTCCCCGGCCGACGAATGATTTTCCTATATCTAACGTGTCCTTTTAATTGTAGACAACTTCCCGGCCGTCGTCTGCCAATCAATTGTATACCATACCTTCCTCAATTCGTTCCACGGTCGCGACAACAGCAGAGTTGAAAAGACAAGCGTGCTGAAAAATCACGCTGTTCATAGAGTGTCGGTGAGAAGTGCAGCCCCGGCACGGTGTGCTATTCGGAAACTCAACGTTAAATAGCAGTCCGTAGGGGTGAACACGATGGGCGCAAGCTTGAGAGGGGTTCGAAACTTGCTTTGCCTCAAATCAAGTTTTAGGCAAATTTGCTTGATGATATTTTTAATGAATTTCAACCCATATGGCGGTCGGGACGTGGTGAAAAAAGCAGTCATCGCAGAGCAAACGTAGAGCATGAACAATGCCGTCAACTCATTCCCCACGGCGATACCGCAGTGACTGGCCTTCTTCTTGACTCGTGTGCGTGGCCCCCATCTTGAAGAATCTGCATGCTGACAACCGTGTGTGATCGCTGGGCTCTGTGGGGCACGTAGGCGGAATCACGCCCACGAATAGTCATCGTCAGCGTGTTGGGGACCGCCCCGGGCTTGCATCAAAACTCGTGCCAACGGAGCACGTTTACCACCACTGAAGCAATGGACGTCTGCCCTGGGTGATGGAAGGGCAGGTAGAGCCTCAACGCAGCTCACAGCATGTAGCTCACCGTCGACGAAGGAATGAACAAGAAGCGTGACCGGCACCACATCACCCGGCAAGCGTCCCCCAGCCTGACCGACCAGTAACACGGAAGCGCTCAGCAGTGACGTCGCAAGTATCTCGCGCGTTTTCCCATAAGAATTTCCCACATCAAAATAGTATGACAAATATAAATACTTGGCTTTATATACAAATTTATGCTCGGCACTGTCAGCACAGTTAACCAAAGGTCACGAGTTCAATTCTCGTAGGTGCCTCATAACCACTGCTTGGAACCCTTCAACCGGTTCTCGGCGCCTTAGCTCAGTGGTAGAGCGTTGGTCTAGTAAGCTTTCTTTTTGCCCTTTTTTGCATCTCCAGCAGCGCAAAGTATTGTTGGTTTCTGGCAGCGATTGTTTTTTTTCTACTTGCTCGATTGACTGCGCGCTTCCCTCTGCTGTTGTGTACTTTTAGTGGACCCGTGCTTGACACTAATCAACACAAGAAGCAGAAACGGAAAACAGAAAAAAAAAAGCGATCAAAGTGATGCAAGTGGAAGGAAGGTGGGTGACGGATAGGAGACGGCCGGGTGCTGACGCCCTGAATAGGCGCGTGTACCTTGCCTCCCCTTCCGTTGCCAGGCTCGGCGCTTGTAGGCACCGCTGCTGGCTTGACAGAGCACAACCAAACGCCTTTTGAGCACAGGTTGACTTGTCCAACGAACAGACACTACGCTGCCCGCCCAGAGCGCGAGGAAAGCTTCAGACTGAAGGATTCAAGGCATCTGGAATGCTCAGACCTGGGCTCGCCTCACAGCTGTTTCTTTACGATAATCCACTTGCTTCGGATCAGCTATACACACCGGCTGGATAACCTTCCATATGAACCGTCAGAAGAAAATGAGCCCTAAGCACAAGGTCCAAACTTTGACTTTGCTTTTGATGGATTGTTTTTGTTGTTTGTGGTTGAGCGATTGTGCACATGTTTGCTGCATACATGAGGTTGTTTTGCTCCCAATACCAAAAAAAAAAGATGGGCCAAACGCTTTGTCATAAATTGGTGGTTCTGGCCACCCACAGAAGATCAAACTCAAGATGCGAGACCAAGGAGAAGGGCAATGCGCGCCCCAAAGTAAAAGAACCTAGCTGCACAAACAAACAAACAAAAAGAATTGCTGCACAAAACGCAAGCCGCAAATAAAATTGGGATGCCGCAAACATGTCATGCGCAACGAAGACGAGATAAAGAAAATTGTCAATCTTTCAAAACCATTCACAGTCAGGGTAAGTGGGAATGAAGCGCGAAACATGTATCGCCCAATTCAAGGATGCACACACTTTCAGGCACGCGCAAGACCAAAGCCGTCCGTTCTCGCCCTGGTCAAGGTTTGCAAGACCAGCGAAGACCAGCACGAGAATGTCCCCGCCCCTGTCATCAACGCGAGCCAGAAAGAAACAAGAAAAGAGGCTAGCAGAGTCTCGAGCGTGCGTCATGAGCTTGGCTCAAACCAAAATTTCAGAAATATCGTCCTCATCACTGTGAGTGCCGGACTGGTCGAGCTCGAAGGTTGGAGCACCAGTCTTGTCGTGGCCCTGTGTTGTTTCTGCCACCTCGCCCTTCGTTTTTGGCTGCGAGGAAGCGCCAGCGCTGTTCACGGAGTCCTGGTCTTGGTGATGCAACTCGGTCGCATCCACGGCATCAACATCCACGTGTTCCAAAGTATCCAGGCGCGGTTCGATCGGCGATTCTAAACGCTGTTTCGCAGCGCCACGCACAGGCGCGCCTGGCAAAGGTACATCAGCAACAAGGGTTTCTTGCCCAGACGCGGCTGCGTCAGGCGATTCGCCGTCATCGGATGAGGACACGGTACGCGCTTCGTTTTTCCGAACTTCGGTTGGGCTGGTTGGGCTGGCCGGGCCATCCGGCTCCGAGTCCTCTTCAAAGTCATGCAGCAACAAACGAGCGGCTGGTGGCAGTGTGGTAGCCATGGAGGCAGAACTGGCCGCTATTTGGGGGGCTGTTGTTCCCTCACCTTCGCCCTTGGCGCGAGGTGCTGCCGTGACATTAGCCAGTGGTGAGCCGGGAATCGAGGCCCCACGGCCAACGGGTGAGCTCGAGGCAGGGCCGCGCGGAGACACATTGGGTAGGCGGCCCACGTGCGCAGCCATATTTTCGCCAAGCTCTGGTCCAGTAGCCGTGGCTTCCGTCTCGCTCTCACTCGCGCTAACATCTGCACCCGCTGCCGTCGTGTTCTCAAGCTCGTCACCTTGATCCTCATCGTCATCCTTGCTCAGACGCCACGACTGAACTGTAATCTTGGTGGGTGTGGCGGGGGCTGAAGCAGCCTCGTGTGAAGCGTGGGCCAGCGCGTCACCCAGCTGCTCCAAAGGTGGGGGTCGCGACACCCCACTATCCGATGGAGTTTGCTCCTCAATGGAGTCGCTGTGCGGAAGGCGACGGCGTGTAGTCGGAGAGTGCTTGGGCGGCGCTGCCGAGGATGAGTGGCGGCGAGTCGACGGAACGGCTGCGCGACGCATGTGCTCAAGGTCCTCGTCGGTCATAAGTTGCGGACGCAGGGTGCGTTTGCGCGGGTCATCGTCTCGCTGTGATGGCGGTCGGCTGGAGGCGGCCGACTCTGTCCCACTATGCCCCTCCGTGTCCGACATGCTGCCCGGGCGGCGCCGACGGCCCGCCGTACCAACAGTCGTACCTGTGGCTGCGACCGGGTTCGCGTTCGCCCCGGCACCGTTGACAGGCCGGTGGGTCAGGTGCAGGGAGCCCGGCCCGGAAGCTGCACCGCTTGGACGGAACACCTGGTCCGTCATGAATCGCAGGAAGCGCTCGCGGTAAAAGTCAGGGCGATGCACGGAAACGGTGTCACCGTCATAGATCATGGACTTGTAAGTATGCTCGAGCGCTTTGCGCGTGCCGTAATTTTGCAAAATATCAATAATGCCCACATAGAGGTATACTTTTTGACCATCACTGTTGTAGGCGGGGATTCCGTTCATGAGCTGCTCATCATCTTCGCCATCACTCTATATGTGCGTGAGTGTAGCAGTCGGATGCATGAGTTGATGTGTGTCATGCTGGAAGCATGTGAAAACGCACACGTGCATGAAACTATCATGCACGAGAGCCGAAAAAAAAAAGCAATATGCCCTCTTCAGCCCTTTGCTGACGGCAAGTAAGCGAAAGGCACATTCACGCACCGTATCTACTGTCTGAAAGACGATGCTGTTGCGCCGGCGCATGCGTGACGATGCCGCAGCATTGCTGCTGGCAATGGGGTTCACGGCAACTTCACGCTCGCGACACCGTGATTCCATGGCGGGAACGGCCCGAAAGTGATCGCCGTCCTTGACTTGCCAAGCCGCATCGGCCGAGTTTGGAAACATGGCTGATGTTTGCAGATTGGCCAGTACCACAAAGTTTTCCGGGTCCCGCGCAATGAGCCATTGTGAATTGGTGTCGTCAAAGCTCATGTAAAGTTTGGTCACGGAGCTGGGGCCGGAGGTGCCATCTGTTTGATCGTCGCTCTCGTCCAGTGAACGGTTGTTGTGAGTGGTCTGCACCATCACAAACTTGAAGCGCCCGTCCTTGCTGCGACCCTGGCGGGACTCGTACACGCCATTCAGATTGAGCCCCTCGACGGGAGGGGCACCGGAAACGGTGCACAGGTGCACGGTACTTGTGCTCGCGCTCGCTGAGGGATGGGAAACAAAGGGTAAACGCCGTGATGAGAAGCAGGAGAACAGATAATATAGTAGGAGAAAAATCACGAAGAAGGAAAGCAGCAAGGGCAAGACACAGAGGACCGGAAGAAGATCAGGGCGGCAGGAGAAAGAGGCATGGTGGGAATAAGGGGCGCATGGATGTGTTGACCAGACAATAGCACACTTTCGGCAACACAGGGGGTGGGTGGGAGATGGAGCATACCATTGGCTCGCACAGTGAACTGATGGGCAGAGGAGCTTGAATAGGCGCTCGGCGCGCCTCGGGATGGTACAAAAAGGCCGACCAAGAGGGAATAGTCCATGATGCGAAAGGATTCAAGAACACGGACGTCACGCTCAATGGTGCCGACCAACTGTTCATATGTGCGGTCGGACATGATGAGGCCGTTGGCGTGCTTCTTGATAAAGTCGATATCTTTGAGCGTCGGGTTTTTCTTCGTCAGCTCTTTTTCAGAGGCAAAACGTCCCTTGGTCGAGCTACCGCCATGGATGGATCAATCAAAGGCCAAGGAGAGCGCAAGAGTGTCCGCACCATGTGAGACGATGGCCGATGACAGCACGAAATTTAGCGAAGCGAGGGTTGGGAACGCACCCCTTCAGATCATAACGCTCAGCGTAGGAGAGGTTCGAGGGTAGGATGTTTTGCATGATGATGAAGCGGATGTGCCGGCCCGAAGCGCTCTTGTAGCAGAAGTGACCAAAGAATTTGGGAAGGAGCGTCCGTTGGTTCTGTGTAATGTTGAGATAGTACGCTGGGAGGAGTTTGCGCAAAAACTTGGACTCGCCCTTTTGCACGGTCTTTACGATGAACAAATCGTCATGGGAGAGCCAGAACAGCGAGCCACTGGCACCGGCATTGGATAGCTCACGGAGCGGCGAGTCACACATCGACATCAAGAAATCCTAATCACAGCGCATGAATGGCATTGTTGATCATCAACCGTGAGGTGCCTCTCTTGCACGCAAACCAGTTTTCAAGGAGAAAATAAGAAAGTCCCACACAGGAAAAGGCGCTTGCTCCTTTGTTGATGCATCATCCATTGAAGAGCAGGCAAGAAGGCGGGAACGATGCAGAGCTACGTACGCCAGTGTCAATGCTAAACTTTTCACGGAAAAAGCGATAAGCCACGGGGGCGTAGGTGGAAAACTTGAAAGACTCAAAGTGATGGGCTGGGGTTGTCGAGGTGCCTTCGCGGGGGTAGTTTTGAGACTCGACTTCGTCAAAGTCCTGGACCAAGATGTCGCGCTTGCGCCGTTGCATTACATAACCTATGGTCAGGGATTTCAACAAGTCAGTGTGAAGAATTGTCCTTTGGAAATCTCAGGAGCACACACGGGCGGGAAAGACATACCAATAGATTGGCGAATGCCCATCTGAATGGCAGACATGAGCTCTTGGGATTTGACGTTTTTGAAAAAGACTTCGCCCGTCTCCTTGTCAACGCGACGATGACCCTTTTTGCTCATCTTGTGGCGCTGAAAGAATTAAAGCAGGGGCAGAGCGCCCAAGAAGCACGGTGAGCCAGGCATCAGTGTGGAAGAATGAGATGGTGTCGGCTAAGACTTGAGTCCCAGTCTTGATTGAAGAAGAGAGAGGGGCAGTTTTGGGGCAGTTTCGGGGCACGGGCCTGTACCTTTGAGTTGGAGCGAGGGGTGTGTGATTCAAAGACATCGCCGTCTGTTTCTTCGCCTGAGGAAGGCTCAATGTGATCTGCGGCATATGTCTTGGAACGGCCACCAAACTGGAACTGACAGGTGGCATTGGACACCAAGCAAAGGGCCGGTGAGCCAGGAAAAGGGACTAAAGAAAAAGGACTAAACCGGGACAACGACTAGCCTTGCCTGAACGGCCAGGCAGTGGTGCTTGCAGTTTGAATCAAGCATTGCACAAAAGAGCAAGGATTGAGAATGCGACTTACGCGGCGGCGCTTGGGTTTGGGGTCAGTATGTTTTGTAGCCGAGGAGGAGACGGGAGAAGCGGGGGAGGCGGCGACGGCAGCAGCAGCTGGAGCTCGCTGGCGGGTGGGCGGCCTCTTGTTGGCGGGCTTGGGGCGAAGCTTGGTCACGTTGTCAAGAACGTCCGTCCTTGGAACGGCGTCCAAGTCGGCGGGGACCGCAGCCGCCATGTTGCCGCTTGGCGGAGTTGATGGTCGTGGGAAGAACCTGATGCCTGCTAGCAAGAAGAGCGCCAAGCGCAGAAGGGGGCGGGCCCAAACGTCACGCAGCTGGCAACGGCGTCTGAGCCAAGCTACGAGCTGATCTGATCACCCGTCGCCGTGCACGACAATGAAAGCGATCGTGCATGCAAGTATGTGTGCACGATGGACAGATGTACGGCGTTCAGATGTCCGTGGGGTGTTGCCCTCAGCACGGAGTCCGGCGATGCCCTCCTGGGGAAGTGTTCTGCCGAGCGAGCTGTGAGGTGTGCTGACTTGTACAGCACAACGCCTACAACAAAAAAAGGTGATGCACTCGGTCAAGTCAAGCAGATTGCATTTGAATCCCACTTGCCATCAGGCGCCCCGATGCCCTCATCCTACCCTCTGGCCAGTCACACCAACCACTAACCCTCTCTTGCGGCTGCCGTTTGCCCAACACCCACCCACACGCACATGCACTCACACACTCTCTCTCTTTCTCTCTCTCTCTCACTTTCATCTCTCTCTCTCTCTCTCTCTCTCACTCACTTTGTGTTTCATGTCACATCCAACTCGACACCGAAAAGGGGAGAGAGAGGACACCAAAAGAAATGCACAACCCTTTCGCTGACACTTCCAACTACAGTATAACATATGTTACTCTTTACGTGTATAAAAGTGCAATGGGTGTTACAGTTTAGAGTGGTGCTTCTACCATTTGTCAGTGCCAGCTTGGAAGAGGCGAACGATGTGATCATGTCAGATTTGTTAATGATAGAGAGTTTGGGTTTAGTTTGCTGTTCTGACCCTTTTGTCGCCACGTCAGCTGCCATGGCGGTGTGGCTGTTCAAGCTTATAAGGCCTTGAATGCAGAACGTCAGGTGTGGTGAGCCAAGTGAAAGCGCGTTCATTTTGTCGACAATTTTCTGGATTCGACGACCACGACAACTTGACGGTCAGTGGCTTTTGGTCGACGGCAGCGGCAGCCAGATGGCGTGTGCATTTGCATGGCTTGGGGGTCATTGTATTCTGTGTTGCATTGAGGGTGCGAGTATGCTTGGAGGGGTCGAGGGTGGTGGACTCATGGCTTGCCGTACGCCTCATAGCTCCTGTTGAGCGCTGCTTTGATTGCTGCTGGCCCGCGACTGAAACGCCCGGAGCGGAGTGTGTTGGGCTTCAGGCAGTTCAACAAGCCTGACCTCCCACACTCGGTACAATGGACCCGCAAGAATGGTATAATGGCTTGCCAATCGTGACCAAGACGCTCTTCACCTCAGTCCTGGTCACGACCCTGGCTGGCAATTTCGGCCTCCTCAGCCCGTACACGCTCATCCTCAATTACCCTCTCATCTGGGGCGGCTTTGAGGTTTGATCGTCGACAAGCCCACCGCATCCAGCGTGCATTGTGCCCACCGCATCCAACATGCATTGTTTGGCCGGCCATTGCTATTTGCAAAGCAAATCGTTTCTTGCACTCACATTACCATCCACGCCCTTCCCTGCAGATCTGGCGCCTCGTCACCTGCGTCTTTTTCTTTGGCAAGCTCGGCTTTCCCTTTCTCATGAACCTCTACTTCTTGTACAACTACTCGCTCAATCTGGAACGAGGTGCGTGTTGCCCACTAAAACAAACACTCTCCCCAATTGGCCCCATGCTCAGAGTCCTGTTTGCTCATCTTTATTTATTTATTTATTTTTTCCATGCCGCTTGCCTGCCACGGCTCAGGCCTTTTCGAGCGCCGTACAGCGGACTATGTCTGGATGATTGTTTCCATCTGGCTGACCCTTCTCGTCGTGGCATACTTCATGTCTCTTGTGGTATGCACCGCAGTGTCCAGCACCACGGGCTTCAGTCAGTCATTGCCTCTTTGCCCGCTCGGGCCGCTCTCTCACCGTCGCTGCTTGTTTCTGCCCTTTGCCACCGCTTAGATGATCGGCTTGCCCCTGGTCATCGCCATTCTTTACGTCTGGTGCAACGTGAATGCGGAGCAGATTGTCTCGTTCTGGTTTGGAACCAAGTTCAAAGCCATGTATCTGCCCTGGGTCCTTGTTGGTTTCAACATCCTCATGGGTGGCAAGTACGTTGCTTTGCCACCGAATGAAGATAAGGCCAGGCCATTCCATTTTGAAGCCTTTTCACGAGAGAAGCCTCGGGCACTACCCACATCGTGTCTCACCGTCCCTGATATGCTTAACGCACATGTCCATCTCTGTTGCAACAGTGGTTTCTCGGAGCTTTTGGGTATCTTCGCCGGTCACGTCTACTACTTTCTCAAGTACAAAATGCCGGAGAATGGCTCCCCCGATTACCTGCAGACCCCTGCCTTTGTGTACGTCTCTCCTCGTGCTGGCTCGTGCGCGTACACACACACACACACACAGAGCCGCCTATCATGTTGTAAGATGCATGCACAGATGACAGATTTCTGACGCGCTCATCAACTCTGCATGTTGACAGCCGCAATATTTTCCCTGACGAGCAAGGTGGCTTCGGCACCATGGGTGGTACCACGTTTGGTCAAGCCCCAGCATCACGTGCAGCAGCTGCGGCTGCAGATCGCCGAACCTTTACTGGTGCCGGACATCGCCTTGGCAACCAAGACTAGAGCTTATACTCTTTTGCCGTCTAGGCGCTACGCTACAACCCTCAACTCCTTATCCAATCCAACTATCAAAGCTACCACACGTCTGGCTGTCTCAATTTATTCCCACCAGGAGGTCACTTGCACAAGGCCGGCACGCTCGGCGTGCTCGTCAACGGACCATCAGGCGCGATTGAACTGACCCGTGGCAGATTGCAAGAAGCGTCCGTGCTCAATGCCACGTGCCAAAACCTCCTTACGACCAGCGTCACGCCGCTCCTAGCAAGTCAAAGAAGACACGGTGCATTGCGATAAGATCCTCAACAAAACAAAACACGATTCAACGTCAACAGTTGACGCTCACAAAAAAAAAAAAAAAAAAAAAAAACTCGACTGACCCGCAGCATACTAGCGGCCCGCCATGCCGTGGCGCCACATTTGCGGCAAGACTCGCGTGGGATACGCTCGCCAAGCACGCTCAAATGCTCATGACAGTCCATGCAAACGAAAAATCGCTCCACCACTTTGACCTGCAGCCATTCACCAGCCAAATCAGCATGAAATCGAACGAGTCGCGTGATATGCCAAGAGGGGCATTGGTCAGAACAGCACTGGCTCAAGACGGGTGACGCACCTTGTCGTAAACATGGTGATCGCGCAAGCAAAGTTCCTGTTTTTTGCGGTGTATTTTCCGGCACTGCCAGCAAGATGTGACGTGAGCTTCTTCGATTTGCTGCTTGCCGCGTAAACCATATTGGGACTCATGCCAAATGCCAGATGCCAACGCTACACCCACCTGACGGCATTTATAAGCATTCAGCTCACGGTCCATAATGCTGTCAAGTTTATCCATGAGCTTGTCAATTTCCATGCCCTGCTGCATCGACTTGCTCAGTTTCTCTGATCGATCCTGTTGACCCGGCAGGAAAAGGCAGTGTGAAGCAAAACGACACATTGCAAAGTAGCACAATAGCAAGGCAGGCTGATCATGCAGCCTTTCTTCAACCGCAGGCTATGGTCATCAGGGAATCAGCTACGTACGTCTTCGTAGGCATCCATGTGCTTGCTACGCGAAGCACGCAGTTTCTCCTTATCCGCTTCACTGCAAGATGTGAGGAAGTTTTGTGAGCCGAGGTGCAAATCTGAAGTGCCAGCAAGCGTGGAACCCACACTCTCACCTGAGTACAGCACCGGTCAGCGTAACCAAGCGCTGAGTCTTGGCCGCACCGAGCTGACCAGTCTTGCCCTTGGCGCTTGGCTCCCGATCCAGAGGAGAAACATCGGCAGCTTCGGCCCCAGTTGATGACTTTGACCCCTTGGTTGCAGCCGTGCCAGTGCCCTGCAGACGTTGTTGAGCTACTGCTGCCGCCTGTGCGAGCAGAATGTCACGCGAGCGCACAGGCGCACTCTTGCTCGATCCAAGTACCAAGTCCACGGCACCACCCTGCACAGCATCAAGCGCCCCCGAGTAGAAGAAGAAGAAAAAAAAAAAAAACACGCATCCGACAGATGAGGATTAGGGCCAGGTGCGCCAAGACTGGCCAAGATGTGCAAAAGCATGCTGCAGAAGCAAATAGATGGAGGACTTCAACACTGGGGACAGTCCAACGCACCGTTGGCAAACCCTTGCCCAGAAGCGGAGTGTTTCGCTTCAGAGAAAGCAGTTGCTGGGCCGACTCCGTACGAGGCAACGTTGGCACTCCGTTGGCTGTCGTGCTACCACCCACTTTGCCGGGCTGGCTTGTCTCTCGGGACAACACCACTGTGCACCCACCACAGGGACGACATGAGTCAAAAAACGAAGCAAGCACGAGCGTGCCTGTCGAGGCTGGGCTATGAAAGCAACGGCATACCGTGTGTTTTCCCGGCCATGGCGTTGCGAAACTGACTGCGCTGACTCATGGCATCAACAAACCCGGGTCTAGGGACAGAACCGAGAGAAAGGGTGTGAGCAACGGCCACGCCGAGTCGCCTTGCCCGCCACACAGCACTCGCAGCTAGGCCGCACTTGATTTCGTTCTTGATGGCTTGTAGCTCTTGTTTTGGCGCGTGCACTGGTGGTGCGACGGTACGAAAGCGGCCCTCCACACCAGGACGCTTGGCCCCAGGCACGCGCGGGGGTGGCTGGTAGCTTCTGTCTCCAGCGATCGAGCCCGAGGCAAAGTAGGAGGCAGCAAAATGAAAAGGCAGCGTCACTGGCCAGTGTTCGTGTCAAGTGGCGAGTCCAAAGCACGTACCCGCCCTGAACAGCCATTCGAGATGACACGGGTTTTCGCTTGTCTTCGCTCTTGGCTGCGGCCTTTTTCTTGCGGATGGCATTGTTGACGTGAAAATGGCAGTATTCGCTATCCATGACAACAGTCGGACCACAGCCCATGAGACGGCCAGCGATCACTCAAACTGGTCCGTGGTGACAAGCTAAATATACTTGACATACCCTTGACTCGTATTGATGGGCATGGTACAGCCATGACCGTCACGACGTGTGCCCTTGCAGATACCATAATCGACGGCATGGCCCAGGTATAAGATCTGGCCTGCTGAATCGACTGTTATGGTCACGTCGCTGGGCGTCTATTGAGCCCCCATGTATCACGTGAGGCAACGCCGAGCTTACGGCGCTTGCTCAATCATGGGAGAAAGACCACATACCTTGGGTTCGCCAAGCTGAGTTGGGTTGAGCAAACCCAAGACACTGCCCTCTGGCAGCTTCCAGTGCTTGGCATGGGCGTCTCCGAGAAGAACGAGCCGGGTCTAAAGGGGAGAATACGTTGAGAATCATGGTGAGAGGTGCCTGTGCAGTCAAGTGGTGCCAAAGGCGTTTGGGCGGACAATGATATGCGACGGGGCAAACGGACGCTTGTGTCGGCCAAATCGGAGATGATCCAAGTCACGTAGTTCTTTTGAGCTTTGGACTTTTGAGTGGAGCGCTTCTCTACCAATACGCCAAAGGAGACCCAGTCCTGCTCCTTGGCACGCGGGTTGTTGGCCTGGCAGAGTGGAATGACAATCAGAAGGCACTGGCGCGGTATGTGCCAACGCAGGTGCGAGAAGAAGAGTGCGGCGGGGCAATCACGGCGTACCCAGCTAGGCACGTTGGCCAAAAGCACATTTTTTTTGCCAGCCATGCTGGTGTCGAGGTCCGCTGCTGATACTTGACGGTTTTGTAGACGAAATCCGCTATGCTTGTCGCGCCGCAACTCTTTCTCCTGCGCGAGTCAACAACAACAATAATAATAAAAAGGAGTTTTGTACGTTGCAAGTGAAGCGCTGAAGAAGAATTCTCCAACAACAACCAAAAAAAAAAAAGGAGGGGAGGGGGCGTACTGTTGTCCGATGAGCCCGCTTGGTGGCTGGTTCGGGGGAAGGATTGCCCCCTTTGTGGCGAGCTATGGAGGAGGAGCGCAGGGGTGCGGCAGGGCTGTTGGTCGATGCGGCAGATGCCGCTTGCGCTGTCGGCGCTTTTGACGCAGTAGCCTGTCTGGAGGAGGCCTGTGACACAGGATTTTTGGGTTCGACTGGCACTGCAGACTCGGGCGTGCCAGTTGCTGCTGAAGAACGGTGGGAGGACGAGCTGGTTGAGACAGGAGGCGGGGCGGGCTCGGCTGGCGACTCATCCTCGTCCATCATGTCGCACAGCAAGTCAAAAAAGTCATCGTCTACAAAGGAGGCAGCCAACATTGTTAGAGAGGGAAACAATGGCCAAGGCCTGCTGGCTATACAAGCAGGAGCGCGAGCGCGCATGTGTGCAAAGTAAGTCTCAGCGTTGCCACGCACCCGCTGCCATGGTTAAGGTCCAGGAGCACGAAAGTTTGCGCCCAGTGTGTTCTAATACGCACGCGTCAAGGCGTGTTGTATACAGCCTCGGGATTGGCCGCCACAGCAGGCAGCCACAACTTCACCTCCCAATCAACAATGGCAAACACAACAACCAGACGAGCCGTCCATCCAGACGTAGCCCGCTCGTCAATGCCCAGAACAACATGAGAAAAAAAAAAAAACTATCACAAAGGGTTCAAAAAAAAAAAAAAAAAGTAACGGTCAAGTCGAACACGAAATGTCAGAAAAAGGCGTTGACCTGAATGTCGTTGACCTCCTCCGTGGCGGTGAGGCTCTAAGAGTCTACGGCACCAAGACTATCAGGCTCTTAAGGCTCTAAGACTATATGGCTCTGTGGCTCTGTGACTGCGCACCAGGTCTGTCTCAGTTTTCCCTCTCCCCTCTCCCTTTCCCTTTCCCTCTCTCTTTCTCGTTCTGTGATGATTCAGCAGGGAATGTGAGAGTGAATAAAGCAGGGTTGAGGAAACTGGCCCCTGATTTAGTCACGTTTCTTGCCAAGTTGCAGCCTGGCATCTGATCTAAACTTGAGACCGTTTGGGAGATTGATCGGAAAGAAAGGTGCTGCTCACCGACTCCAACTGAGCAAGCATTTCAGAAGAGTGTATTGTGCGCACGATCCAAGAAGAGTGTCTGCGACAGCCCAAGGGTGGGACTCAGTCCCCAGTCATGATGTTACCTATTGCCCACTCTCGTATGACGCGACCGTTAGACGTGCACATCAACGCCTGCCGTCCAGTTGCGCCGCGTTGCATCGGCCGGCACGGCTAAAAGCACAAGCTGCACCAACCACCAAACAGTGTTCAAGTCAATCTGACAACCAGGGCAAAGGCAGGCATCTTGATGTGCACTGAGCGAGCGTGATGTCATTGCAATGCGCACCTTTGACATGCCCCCCTTCACTTGCACGCCACCAGATGGAAGCCATGCGTTGGCAACGGCGTTTTCCAGGCGCTGCCGTACAGTTGCAGATACCAGCGCGGAGTCCTGCCAAATTGATGTGAGCGCCAAATGAAGTCAGAGCGGTGGCACGCTCGGCACACGTTAATCTGGCGCGAGCAAGGCATACCTCGTTGTGGATGAGGGTAGCGACGAAGCGCGGCTGACGGAGGCTATAGCGAACCAAGCTCTGAGCCAGGGCTTCTTTCGCACCGTGGTCCATGATATATTGCTGCATGGCCTCTTCGACCTTGTCCGTGTGTGGGACAAGCACGCCGAGGTGTGCAAACGCCTGCAACAGGTTGGTAGTAGCGCAAGAGTCAGCCACCATTTCCGCCCAGTCTCGTGAGCAGTTCACCTTTGGACATGTACGCTCGTCACAATCGCACCTCGGGGTGCTCGACGGCCGCCTCCAGCTCGTAGCGACAGGCTTCGTTGAGCACAAGATCGCGCCCGAAACCAAACGCCCCCAGGCTAGAGGCAAAAAACTGGTCAACGTTGCCCTCCATTGCTCCCCACAGCTAGTAGAAGCCAAGGCAGTCGATGAGACGCGACCTGCACGATCACTGTGACCACATGTTTAGCTATAGGGTGCTTGCAGCTGTGTCAAGTTGTGCCCCGCGTACCTGATCATACATTTGTACCAAACCGCGAAAAGTGATGCAGTTCTCATCCGAGTCAAAGTTTTCGATCATAAACTCCCAGGTTTCTGGATCCACGCCTTCACCCTCGGCACGATGCTACACGCAATCGGTGATGCCCGTAGCACGCCCGTGAGTATTAGCAGGGCTCCGTCTAAAAATATACAGCCTCACTCGGAACAGGAAGATATCAGGCGCCAGCCCTTGAGCGCACCTGCAATAGATCAAACTCATCTCGAGCAAGAAGACCACGCGAGGTGGTATCGTAGCTGTCAAAGAGTGATTTGAATGCTGCGCGGGCCTAAAGTAGCACACGCGTGGAGATGAGCACAGATGCCACGTCAAATGTAGGCGAACTCCCAGGCGAGCACCCAGGCAAGCCAGCGAGACCTACTGCTTCGGTAAACACTGGGACACCGTCAACCTCGTGCACCAGCTGAGCACAATCAACAGCCATTACGAATCGTCAGAGCGCGAAAGAAACCAAGTGAGCCGCAGGCCAGAGGGCTGTTACCTCGGCATAATCAGGTTTTTCATCGACATGAACGAGCTTGCAGCCCGGACTCCAAGGAATGAGCCTGTATTTGCCTGCCGTGTGGTCGCCAAAATGACAGACGTGAGTCCTCAATGCAGGCGCGGGGGACGGCGAAGGCGCTGCCTTCCAGGCGCAAACGAATCCAGCCAGAGATCGAAAGCATTCGAACCAGGGGTCAAGCGAACAGCTAGCTGGGCATGCTGACAGCTGATATGAGAAAGGCCCAGAGGCTTCCACACGTTGCCCGGCTCCACCTAGAGTCCCAGCCATTGACAGGGTGCGACCAGAGCAAGATACTAGTGAGAAGCGCAAACATTTGCCAAGGCCCCAAGAAGCACAAGAAGCAGGGCTGCGCACGACTCTGCACGCACCCGGCACAAGAGAAGACTGGCATCACAAGCCACGTTTTCGTTGGCAGGCTTGAGATGAAGCTTGAACAGAGCCTGTGAGGGTTTCTGACACTGAAAAGCGAAAATTTCGGCATTGACTGCATCTTTGGTTCGTAGGAAGCGCCCCTGTAGCGGGGTGCGGTGCCACTTCTGTAGCAAGATCGGCCTGACGTGAGGACCGTGCTACAACAGACTAGCACAAAAACGGACAGGCGTAAGCTGAGCTAAATTACTGGGTGGCAAGCCTAACCGGAGGAATTGGATCCAGGGCCGCCTCGGGGCGTAGCAGCATCGCATCCGCCGGCAGATCCGAGTCCTGGGGGTTGTTGGTGACATCCAAGCTTCCACGAGCTGAGCCGGCAGGCTGCTGGCGTCGAGAGCGGACCGCACCACCAGTTCGTCCAGATGTGGGGCGAGAACTAGGCTTGGAGGGCTGGGTAGGTCTGCCGCGTGCTGCGGCCAGCGCGCGCGCTCCTGGCTGTGCTGATGTCGATGTTTTGGTCGCGTTCTTGGCCATGGTCGTGTTCTGGGCCGTGTCGTGGGATTTGGCGGGTGCGTCATTGGCTGGGGGTTGTAAATGGGCAATGGTCGAAGCCATGTCGAGACAGGCCTGAGCGAATTCACGGTAGTCAATCTGACCATCCTTGTTGGCATCAAAAAGATGGATGATCTCATCCACCTCCTGCTTCGTCATACGATCCCCGTGCTATTGTGGGCCGCCCGGTACATGGCAGGGTGAGCGTGTGGAATCGATCAAGGCCAGGCGAAGCATGACTAGAGTGCGCAATGTGCTGCGCCCACCTGCATGAGGGCTTGAATCAGCTCAGGCTTGCTCAGGTGGCCATCTTGATTAACATCAATGACCTGAAACGCCTGGATCATGTCCTCTGCACATCGTGAAGCGCGGCGACATGTGCCACCAACAAAAATGAGATTTGTACCTTTGCCGCATAGCAGCCTCACCAGACCCGGGGCGTTGACAGACCAGCTGACATCGGAGGGATCGAGACGGCCAGCTGAAGGAGGTCCGTCTTGGTGAACACGGCATCGCTGCGAGCGACCTGACCACAAAACTCCTTGACCGCCGCATGCGTCGGATTCAAACCCATAAAGTGCAATGCCGTCTCCAATTGCCCCGAGGTCAGCTGCGGGTTGGCATCACGATTCACCGCAGCCCATGCCAGGTCCGCGCTCGCCTGCAGCTCCTCCGTATACGGCATCCTGCCTCTCGTCTCTGACCTTGAAAACTCTCTTTCTCTTTAAAAATTGAAATTTCATTCTCTCAAACTCTCTCTCTCTCAAACTCTCTCTCTTCTCTCTCTCTCTCTCTCAAAAAAAAACTCTCTCTCAAACTCTCTCTCAAACTCTCTCAAACTCTCTCAAACTCTCTCAAACTCTCTCAAACTCTCTCTCTCTCTCTTTCTTTAACCCCTTGGATTTGTTTGGTCAGAAAAACATTTGCGCTGCATGTACGCTGCTACAGTGTCTCTTATTATGGGAAATTGTTGCCCTAGGACAATTTGGATGTTAATTTAATTTTTATACCTGCGCTGGTGACTTTTCGGCGCTTGACGGCACTCGTGCAAAAGTGGAAGTGCCTTCATACACTGTCAGCCCAGGGCCCTGCAAATGTGGTCACGTTCCAAGAGTAGTGGCACCGCCTAGACCCCCTCGGCACCGCCTAGAGTCGCAATTCAATCCCATGAGCCAACCAAAATACAAGCTTAGGTCAATTCATCGTCACGCATCGCTCTCAACAAACGACACAGAAGAACGACAAGCTCCAGCAGGCGGCGCAATTGTTTCTAATCTGCTGCCGTGTAGTACACCACCAGCTCAGGATAGAGTTGTGTATTCTCAAAAATGACGACTTCGGCAAATTGCCGTTGCGGCGCCGCGATAACCGAGTCATACCTAAGGAGATACCGAGCCCAACAGTCGGTTTAAGTCGACCAAAGGCGCACAACTGCTGAGACTACGACATGATTCTGTCCAACGTACCGCTCATTGTTGGGCGCTTTGGGGAGGAGCGGAGGAGCCAACGCCCTAGAAGGCGGTGCTGCATTCACATGGGCACGACCCAGCAGCGCTCGGGCGATGACGAGCATCCGCTCACCATTGGGTCCAGCACCGGCGTACTGATGACTCTAACATCATGTGAACATACACTTTATGAGAACAGCATCCCTCGAGTTGTCATTTCAAGCCCTCGCTTTACGCACCTTGCCGGGGTGGTCGGCCAAGTAAACACCATACCCAAACTGGTGGCCGGCGCTGCTACCGGCAAAGCGATAGTCAAAGCCTAGGCGCACGATCTTGTCGCGCAACTTCGCGTCGGGGGCAATGCCGTGGAGCAACAGGCGCTCTTGACAGGATGAGTCACGAAGCAGAGCTGGAAGGCCTGGGAGCGCATCCAAGGTGGCCGTTTGGAGTTTATTATAGTGCTCCTGTTTTTTGATGCGATGTAACATCTCACGTCGCTTGGCACTGTAGCGCTCCCACAGCACGGGGTTTTGCACGCGCTCAACCCGCTGTACTGCAATATTCGCTGGCCCCCGCGCGTCGGTGTTCAGCTGCTTCAATAGCTCAGCCACCTAGCCACACAGTTGTTTCAAATCAGACGACTTGTGAAAGAGCATTAAATCAACAAGCCACGCACCTCTGAAGTGAGCTCGGGCGCGTCACGCAAAACGTCAATGGCTGGTCCCACTTGAGCGATGGCAGGCTGCTGCGCATGCTGCCCAGCGTTGAAGAGGCTTGGCCGTTGCTTCGGATCCGTTGCGAGCAAAGCTCGCGTTTCCTTGTACAAATCGCTCGTCGAATCGCACATCTGCAGCAAAGGTCGGCAAAGCAAAGCGCAATCAAAGCGGTGCTCAGTTGTCGGTCAAGAGACATTGCGATGTTGCTCACCTCAGCCGCTAAGTGCGAAAAACTGCATTCTGCACCTCTTGCTCCTGCCTCCCATTGGCATTTCTCAGCAAGCTGGTCCGTGGGTAAACGAGCAGGTGGCACCGTTTGCGGGAACATGTAGGTGTTGTACAGCACACAGCCAAAGGAAAAGGCATCCTGTGCCGGACGCGCGCCCACACGACCTAGGCCAAAAAGCACCTCGGGCGCCACGTAGCCTGCCGTGCCCGACGATGCAGTGGCCGTGCACGGCAACATCGTGGCTTCAGCGGCGGCCTTGGCAATGTCGAAATCGCCGAGCCGCACAACCGGCTGGTCCTCTTCGCCGTCCAACATGACATTGCTCAGCTTGACATCCCGATGTACCAGGCCCTTGCTGTGCATAAAGGCCAGAGCCGTGCGCAGCTGAGCCATCAGACCTGCAATCACGGTCGAGGTGGCCAGGTGGCGCGCCTTGCCGAGCCACTGCTGCAAATCACCCTGTGTACACCATGGCTGCACCAGGTAGGCGCTCGGATGGCCGTCTCGCACGTCCACAAGCGCACTGAGGACCGGGATGATGTGTGGGTGCTCAAGCTGGCGCATCGCGCGAAGTTCTCGAAGAAACGTGCGGCATTGATCCTGCTTGTGCTGCCGGGCAAGTGCAAATTCCTTCACAGCCAGATCTTGCTCGGGGCAATCTGGTAGCGCTGCTCGGGTTTTGTATACCTTGTGGTTTTGGTAGTAGTGGAGCTCAAGTTGACCCAAGTCAGTCAGCGACAACCGCTGGTCTACTTCGGTCATGGCCTCCAAGATGAGGCTGGCCGGAAGGTCGGCCCCGAGCACAGTGCGAAGTCGCTTTCCCAGCGTGCTCTGCTCAGGGTGCAAAAAGACCAACAGAGCTGGGAAATGTTGATGCAGCAGCTGGGTGAGCTCTGCGACGTGATCCACGTGTGGTTCAGCTGAAAGCTTTTGCTGTAACGTGGCTAGATGTCTTCTTTTCTCCTGCAATTCATCTTCGAGGACAGGGCGCAGCTTGTCTGAAGCAAAGCTCAAGCATGCTGTGGTGGCCTGGATTTGCTCATGCAGCTTGGCCATTTCCTCATGTGCAGATACAAATTGATCCGGGTTGCTCTGCATGATTTCATTGGCATATTTTATGCACGAGGTCAGCGCAGATCGTGTTATGTCCTGCCATTTGATCATGTCTTGCAATTGCCGCGCCAAGGCCTGTGACTCATGAAGAACAAACGTCAAATACCAGCCCTGATGCTCGTATTCTGGAGGGGCTTGCCACTGAGCAATTTGTTCCAGACCATTTTGCTTACGCGCGCTCAGGTTTTGGTGGGCCTGGCACAGCTGCTCCCAGGCCTCGGGCAATGCTTCGGCTGGAGGCGCTGCGTCAACGTGTTGACAGTGCGCAATTTGTCGCAGCGTGTCTACACGATGAATCGTGTCGCTTGTTCCTGCTTTTGCCACGGCGCCCAGAGCATCGATAAATGCCAGAATCAACCCCTTGAGGTTGTTGTTGGAGGTGGTGAGCAATTCTTGCAGCTCGGGTCCGCCGTCGCTCAGGGCGATAACCTTGTCCAGGGCGGCTGCCAAGTCGGTCGGCGGTGTTTCTGGTGAGGACGCTGGTGCAGTCGGCGGTGCGGGGCATGCTGCCAGTGCAGTTTGTAGCTCGAGAAGAGCCGGCTGCAGGTCAAACTGCTCTATGAGCTGATGCAGCTCTTTAAGCACCGATTCTAGATTGTCGGAGTTTGGGTCTAGCTGGCTCAAGCGGCTGTTTAACGCTTCGGGTGCCTGCAGTGCTTGGTCGAGCGCACCAAGTGCCTGGGTGGTGGTCACCTTGAAGGCAGCCCAGTCCACGGATAAAAAGACCAATGGTGCTCCATCAATGATATTCTTCATGTTGGCAAGCGCGTCGCGGTTGGGGAGGTGCGAGACAGCCCCCGTGACAAAAGCATCGAGATGGGGGAGACGATGGGTGGTGGTGCGCTTGGGCAGGAGCGGCTTGAGCCAGGTGTCGACCGCCACCACAACAGAGGCCGTGGTCTAATGGTGATTTGTGTGGAAGATTAGTCATTGGTGATTCAGTTGGATGAGGGATGAGGTTGCGAGTGGGATGCCTGTTTGGGGAAAACAAGGGGAAAGAGGGGCTCACCTCATGGGTGGGCGTGGCGTTGGGCAGCGGCGGCAGCCAGATGCAAGCCTCACGGGCAGCAAACACGGGCTCCAGCTTGTCGCCATGTCCGTGTTCAGTTCCTAGATCGAGGGGCGTTTTGCCATTCTGGGAACATGGCCACAGTCAAGAGATCGGAGCGCGCGAGGTGAGCAGCGACGCCAGGGTTGAGTTGGGCGATATGCATTTCTTCCTCACAACAAAGGCGAGGCAGAAGCCACCAGGGATGGGATGGTGTCTGGATTGAAGTCACAGCATCAGAAAAGGAAGGGCGAGGACGGCAGGCGGAAGATACAGCGGGGAACAGAGCGGGGCCAACGGATCACCCACAAAGGGCAGGCGCAAAACGGGAAAAGGAGAGGGATAGTGGGAAAGAAGAAAAAGAGCAAGAGGCAGCGGACGCGCACGGGGGCCCAGGGTATGTAGAGGAAGAGAGGGACAGGGCAAAGGCGACGAGCAGCGGGAGCAGGAGCAGCAGCCAGAAGGGAGGGAGGGAAGAAGGAGGTCCTGTACTGACGTTGCTCTTGGCTTCAGCATCAGCACCGTGCTTCAACAGCATCTCCACCAACTTGACACGACCTTCAGAGCAGGCCCTGTGCAGTGGTGTATAACATGATGCGCTGTGGTAGTATGACTTGACGTCCTATTTTATACCATATGTCACCATATCAGTGATATATTCAAAGTGTAACCAGAGTCATACAATGTCATACCGAACCAGCATACGTACCTTATCTATGTATTTGGCAGCAGCTCGAATACGTTGGTGGTCCCAACTGGCCAACAGCTGCAGCGCCTCTCGGGAATCTGATGAACCACACGCCTGGTACAGCCGCTTTCCATCACTCATGGTAACGGTGTCTCTCTATCAGACAGTGTCCACCACAATCTCATGAGCCCCCTCCAAATACAAAATCATCTAACAACGTCGATGTGATGTCGCGCGTTTCAAAACGGCAACCAGTCAGCACCCATTGCTCTACCCCCCTAACCCCCTAACCCCTCTGCGCCAAACGACTCATCTCTGGCTAGCAGTTCTGGGAGACCATTGCGAGTCTGCCCCAGCGCACGCTGTCGACTGTGAGGCGAGGTCAGCGGCACTCACAACATACAAAAAAAAGTGGCAGCGATGCTCTCAAGCAAACGTTCCGGCTTTGCCGCAAGGCCCCGAGCGGGAGTGACGCGTAGCAAGCACAACCACACAGGCAAGACGCGTCGATCAGATCACCGATGCCAATGCCGAAGAGGGGAGAAGAGGCAGAAGCAGAAGAGGAAGAAGAAGGAAAAGAAGGAAAATGCAAAGAACTTTTTGTTGTTTTTGAAAAAAAAAAAACCATAACGGTCACATGAGCAAAAGCTTTTGTTCCAAAAGCCCAAAAATGTAAAACTGTACGTATTCGTGTTATGCCGCTCCGCCAGCCGTGGCAGCTGGGCAGCATTCCGAGGCTGTTGGCCAACCGACTCAACGCCCCTCATGACGACGAGCTGGCCAACATGATCTGTCAAACTGCATTATGAACTCTTCTTCTCAGTGCAAACGTCAAAACTGATTTGAAGTTTATGACCACTTTGATATTGAGTTGGGTTTATCTGTAAGAACCTTACAAAACCACTTGATGGATGGGCTTGTGAGCGTCTGCGCGCAACCATAAGATACGCAGGCTGGAACCGTTCAGAAGGATGTGGATCAGTGGCGGATGATAAACGGTATTCGTCGAAATTCAGAGAGTGTGCACAACGAGACAAGATCTATAGGGGTGTTGTCAGGTCGGCAAGCCCCATGGACGAGTGCAAGGAGAGGACAGCAGCATAGGCCATGGGCTGCTTGGCAGGGATGTAGCACACAACGCAAGGCTATACGTTGGAAGTTTGGGCGAAAATATCATTCTCACTTCCAGGAACAATGGACATGCGCGTCCGGTTGGTAGTTCGCGAATGATCCGCGTCTAGAGAATGCCACGGCGATGTGACGTTCGACTGGTGGAGACCATAAGAGGCACCAGACAAGTAAGATGAAACGCACAGAAGAAAGTGGTCGCGGCTTTCCTCGGGTACAAATTTTCAAGCCATGGCGACCGAGAAACGAACAGACACGCAAACAGCCTGGCATTTCTGACCTCAGAGTTCGGATCTGGGCGAAGTTGCCGAACGATTTGATGGACAAGGCCCGACTGAGAGTTGACCGTATTGTAGTTTTGTGCATTGATACGAGTCAAGAGCACCGGCGACGTAATGTCACGGCGCTCCTGGACAGAGCCGTCGGGCATAATCTCATCAATAATATCAAAGCGGCTCCAATCCACAGCGCAATGCCCGCCAGAGGTGCGCGTGAGCATGCGCTCGAACCTGATGGGTTGGCACAAGGGCAAGGTCAGCCATCGCATGTGTTGTTGAGAGTCACCCCTGTAAGGAGCGCTGGACCAATTGGATACCGATGATTAAAGAAGATTTCGCCCGGTAGATAGCTTGTACGAAGCTCAAGCGTGAGGCCCAGATCCTGCCATTCAAGCCGGTCACCCATGCATGAGTTGACTTTACTGCGAGACCTGGTGTACTCGTGTTGGGGTCTTTATGCAAGCAAACGGTGCGAAACATCCAGCACAGGCAGAAGGCGGGCCGGTGGACGCACCGAGATGGTGCCCTCCAGCACGAAGATCAGCTCGGCTCGCCGCTCCTCGAGGTCATTCTGACAGGCCACGTTGTTGAGAGGACTATTTTCATCGATGATATGCCGCACCTCTTGAGGGATGGCCAAGAACGGTTGCTCGGACGAAGAGCCTGCCCCCTGCACACGCGCCGAGGATGGGGTGATGAGCAAGAATCAGCCACGAAGACGACATGGTGTATTGTTGGAATAAGAGTACGGACGTGATCGAGCGTCAGCGCGACGGTGTTATACGGCAGTAGCTCGCCCTCGACGGTAGTCACGTCTTCCACCAGGTAGAGGCGGCAAGAACAGCCAATAAGAGGGGAGTGTTGCTGTAGCATGTCGCCCACACGAATCGATAGACAACGCTGATCATTAACGTAGCGAATTACAGCTACTGAGCTGCGCATGTGACGGAAGCAAGCGAGTGAAGGCGTTTGCAAAAGGGACTGAGAAAGACATGGAAACATGGAAGGGGGTGGAAGAACCAATTTGAGAGGTGCAGACGCACCTGCACCGGAGGGTGAAGCGGCGCTTGTTGGGGCGGGTGAGACGAGCAAAGATAAGCCCCACCAGGCAAGCATCGAGGAGATTGCCCCAGATGTTTTGAATGAGAAGCATGATGATGCCACCATTGCAGTGGCCGGCAACATGCTTGGTACCGTAGCCAATCGTTGACTGGGTCTCGATGGAGAAGAGAAAGGCGGTGGCAAAGCCCTCCACGTCGTTGATGCAGCGCGCGTTGTTCTTGTGGATGGCATACCAAAAGCAGCCAAAAAGAAGGTACGAAAGGACGTAGGCACTCACAAAGAGAAGTAGCAGGAACAGCGTAGACCGGGAGAGAAGCCAGTTGAAGAGATCCCGCAGGTTGTTGCGCCAAGTTTTGAGGCCGGTGCGGCGTTCTCGCACGCGCAAACGGCCGTGCTTGCTGATCAGGCCGGGGCGGACCGGAAAGCGATCCGTGCTACGCCCGTGTCGCATTGTGAACGCTTATCAAGGTACAGCTGAGGCACGGTCTGAAGATCAAGAAAACCGCAACTGTCATGCACACGGAGCATACAATCACGCCCCACAAGCACCGATGCCCTCTGACCACGCCTCAATCTTAAGCCCCAGCTTGGAGTCCAAGTTTGATGCTGGTGTTCATCACAAGCTTTTAACCTGACGGCCGTCACCGACACTGCCAGTACCACTCCTTCT